AATATTCTTTAGTTACACTCAGAACTTATTTTGAATAAAATCCTGTTTCATACATAACAAGAGAAACGGTTTTCTAGTGTTTTTTTTTCTTTGTAAGGTTTATCAGAACACAGACATTATGTTAAAGTTACAAAGTGACTTGCAAACACAACAATAAAATTCTGTTGAATTAAAAATATTACAAATGTCACTAGTATTTTACAAAATAAATTCAGTTGAAATATATCAAGATTGAGCAGACATTAGAACATATAAACACGTCATGTGACTACCTAATCCTCCAACGCTCTTCTAGTTCAAATACTGATGGAGCTGTAAATTGTCAGCAATTATAAAATAACATGCTCAAATGCTCTATCTACAGAATACAAACATTATTTTGTAATGCAACAAGGTTCAAAATACACACAAAAAATCTAACAAAAATCAAAATATGACTATCATAATGGTCAGTCTATATTTTATTAAATTTTTTTACTCATGTTACAATAATCATTACATTCTCTGATTTAATATACCAAATCAATGTTTTCAAGGGATTTATCGCTTTTTTACAAGTAGCAAGCTGACTGAACATTTTCAAACATAGTTTTTCAACATTAAAAATAATGTATAATGTATTCTAACTTGAACCGCAATTTTCGCATTCAACATAGAAGAACCAAAAGTGTGTGTAAATATGCAATCACTGTGGACAATCTATTTATAGACATGTGATGTAACCATTAAAAATGTGATGTGCTGAAAATCACTTTTATTGTTTGGCGCTTTGGATGCACAACATTATATCATTTAAGCTATGCCCTTGTGATATTTCAAGCTTAATTTTTGCACAATATATGGACAAAAATTGCTTTAATTAGTAATATTTAATTGTAAATTACATTGCTGTAAAATATATGTGTTTGGGCTGGAGGCCTTATTATGCAATCCATCCTTATTATGCAATAATCTTAAACTTATAATATTATAACTTATAATAATTATAATAATTTTTAAATATGTTAAATTACAACATCACATGACAAATAAAGCTTGCCGTGAACACATGTTTGTTAAGCTTTAAAGAAAAAAGGTCAAGTTTTGAAAATAAACAAAAAAACATTAACATAAAAGCATATATATGAACCAAAAACACATGAAAAATACTGCAAAATAATCATCTTTTGTGGGAACATTTTTTTATAGATGTTTTAGAGCTCTAATATAAATTCTGACCATCTGGATCTCTTTACAAAATGCCGTCATAGTTACATTATTTTTTGTTTATCAAAAAAGACGGAATTTACCAAATTAATTTTATTTCACAACATTGTTTCAAGAATAAATCATTTAATATAAGATCCACAGAATTAGATAATTTTACAGCAAACTGGTTAAACATACAGTTTGTGAATACAAAAAATATTCTGCTAAAAGTTAAAGTTTAGGGGAAAAATACAGAACATGAAAGAGCTGAGAATGTTAACCTCTATAAAGCTCTCTTTAAAAAGGAAAGTTTTGATGGTTTTGGAATAAATAACATGTTTCGTTTGGTTACCATGGTGACAAAAGTGGTATCATGACATATTTATTTTTTTATGAGATTCTCAGCTCCAAAGCCCCATACTTCTGAAGCACACAAAAAATATTTGTGGTGAAAACTGGAACACAAAATATATATTACCTACACCAAGAATGTCACTATAGAGTATTATATAGACAACACACTACACTGCATGTAGTCAAGTACAGGCGTAAGTGGAGTGGCAGACAAGGAGCCTAAAATGGCAAATCATCAAAAAACTTAGTGTGACAAATTCTCATAGACTACCTATACCTTAAAAAATTCTCATCCAATCACTAGCCAGAATTAAAAAAAAAAAATAATAACGAAAGTATATTTTAAAACTCTCTTATTACCACGACAACTGATTAATATATTTAAGAAAAAATATTGGTCAGAGCGTGTTTACCCGCTATTTTTATCACCTGTTTGGAGTTTTGATGTGTAGGACCATGAAGGCCGCTGGCCTAAGTGGTTAATTTTTCGCATCAAAACAAGGTAGCAAGATTATACCATATTTTAATCATAAGCCAACTATTAATGATTCACTAAATTTCTAATTTAATTCAGTATATGATACAACTTGTCTTTAAAGAGAAAAACATTCATACTTTTATATGTGACTTATTGCCAGAATTCATGTTTTTAATTTTTTTCCCCAGAATTGTTACACTGTTAATACATCAAAATGATGAAGGATGTTTCAACACTGTATAATTAACATATTTTAAATGCTACATGTATTACCTTTGTTTTACCATGAGCATATTCTACCTTAGAATTGTAAACAATGCATTGTTAGCTTGAATGAATTCACAATGAAAATTCTACAACAACAGAACATGGTCTGGTCAGATTGCACAGAAATGAGGGCTGACCTAGCACAATAGTTGTGGCACAGGAAGGGCACTATAGTTGTAGCACAAGGGGAGTAATGTTTGCTTAGCAGAGAGAGTTAAATAATACAGCAGCATATGAACATTTATGTTTGTTTACTGGATGACTTGCATCTCAAATGTAATTCCCCTTGTCAAAATAAATGTGTGACCTTATATAGAGAAGCTGTATATTTTACCTTTATATTCTTAATAGAGTAAGTTATCTTTATACCAATATCATTAACATTCTCAAATCATATCTGTTAAACATGTTAATAACACAAAGAGCCTCTTGTGGCCGAGGGGTTGCCATCAATGGTTGAGGCATAAGAATTATAGCCAAAATTTATTTCTCCTGCATGATAGTAAGAGGTGACAAAATGGTTTTGAATAACTGGAGTCTATGCATCTCTTAGCTCCAGCAGGTGAAGTGGTATTGACCCCAGGTATTGAAATTTGTAACACCTAAGGTTAGCCAAAATCATCATTGAACCATATGACCTATACAGTGTTGGTGCACCGTGAAACCAACTTTAGAAACATTTTTGGTCATATCTTGGAAGTCAGGCCACCTAACCAGCTATCCTTGATAACTAAAAAGCAAAAACCAATTACTCTGTAAGTGACAAACTTCTTATCCCCACACTGATTTAGAGAAGACTACCATGCTACAATGTCACAGAGCAATTTTGATAGAGAAATTACGCCTTGACTGAAGATCAAACCATTGACTGCAAGATTACAGTGACCAACCTATACATGTAGTTTTGAAATTTAAACATTCAAAATGTATTGTATTATCCTATTACATTGTACCTACATACAGCTATCAAGTATCAAAATTTCATGGTACAGAATTTATAAGCATACTTAATATTCAATATAATCACAAGAAACCTAAACTGTTTTGAAATGACCATCATTCTGCCAGTGAACGGCATCAAATTACATCAAACATAGACCAAACATTTGACATATTTTAGGTAATTTACTTATCTAGATATGCATCTTATTCTGCCATTCACCACAAGTTAATCAGTGGATGGCATTAAATTACATCAATGTTCATATTTTAGATTTTTTTTTTCATTCAGTTAAGCATCAAGTTCTGCCTTTCACCACTAGTTAAACAGCAGTTTTATAAGCAGAGTAATAATATATAGAGCCATAAAATTTACCCTAGACGTAATGCAATTTGATTACTGATAAATGTTGCTAAAAATAAACGAAAAAATAAAAACACATTCCCTTACAAATAATATAGAAATACATTGTATATAACAATCTTAAAAAAAATTGAAAATAATTTCATTCCAGACAAAAAAATAAAGTACCACATTTCATTCAAACAACTAACAAACACTTCATTCTTTTTTTATACAAAAGAACTCACTGATTTTATGAAATAGTGCAAGAGTAACCTCCCTTCTGTGAAGATTTGTCACATGACAATAATGTGTCATGTGACGTGCCAAATGAAGTGTCATGTGATGACATACTCTCATCTAAATTATCAAAATACTTTTACATCACTATTTTAATCTTTAATACATTTTAAACACTGACATATGTAGTAACTGCATTGTTAAATTTAAATCGATATAAAATGATATGTATTTGACTTTTTTATGTTTTAATATAACTAATAATAACTGGTTTATAGTTCAGAAGTCTTACTTTAATGCTATCCCGCCAAAAAATTCTAACATAGGCCAAAATCATAGCAAATCAGTTATTTTCGAAACGTTATTTTTTTCAAAATCTTGGGCATTAGATTATTAACAATCACTTTTCCTTAAACGCTAGATCTTTGTACTAATTTCCGATTATAAGCAGTTAAAAATTATTGAATATCAAAGATCGTGAAATATAACGTTCCTGAAATGACTGATTTATTACTATATTTGCAGATGTAAGAAATTTTTTGGCGGGAAAGCATTTACAGTAAGACTACCTTAATCACTCAGGCCTATCAGCCTTCATGATTATATTCCTGCACATTTGAACTCAAACTGTGCATTGTTTTACTACAACGTGCTCAAAATTGATGCCTATATTTTTAATATGAAACTGTACTACAGGTTTTATCCAATAAATTTCAAGCGTTACTTTGTGTATCATAAAATATTGACAATTGACATGTTTGATATAATTGAAAAATCATGTTCTAACATTAATTACTAACATTAATTAATCAATAAGTGAATACCCAATAACTTTTTACATTACACTGATGTTTTACAATCAAACATGTGAGAACACCACAAACCATTTTAGCAAAAATTCTTCTATGAGGCTCTGTTTAAATTAGCAATGACCTGACCTGATAAAATGACCTCTTTATTAAGTATAAAAAGTTTCAAACAAAATACACCCTTCATTGCTTAATACCAATAAGAAAATATAAACTGTGTACATTAATGACTTGTTTTGGACAAACACTTTTGTTTTGAAATACAGCGATTTAAAAATTTTATTGTATGAAAATATGACTCTATACTTAAGAAAAGAAGCCACTGACTTTATCAGGTCACATAGACAAACTGAGAATAGTTTGTGCAAATAAAAATACTTACTGCTTGATTTTCTCCGTTCAAATTTGCGAGTTTTATTTCGTCTCATGATAGTTTTACGAGCATGAATTGAGTTTTTCATAACGACAGGTTTATCAGGATCCAACTTAGCTTCCTGTGCAAGATTCTCAAAAAATGCTGAAATATTTAAAACAGGAAATGGTAAACATTTTTTTCAAAATCAAGACAGAACATGCTCAGGTTTAATATGTCAACCTCACACCCCGCTATGCTCACAGCCATGTTTAATATATGTATCACAGGTACAAATTAATACTGCATTATGATTTTTAATGTTTTTTCTTGTATAAAATTTGCTGCAAGGTTTAATATGTCAACCTCACACCCCTCTATGCTCACAGCCATGTTTAATATATGTATCACAGGTACAAATTAATACTGCATTATGATTTTTAATGTTTTTTCTTGTATAAAATTTGCTGCAAGGTTTAATATGTCAACCTCACACCCCTCTATGCTCACAGCCATGTTTAATATATGTATCACAGGTACAAATTAATACTGCATTATGATTTTTAATGTTTTTTCTTGTATAAAATTTGCTGCAAATCACTCTACAGTAAATGTGTATAAAGATATCTATATGTAATGGTTCAGAACTGTTCACTATTTAGGGGAGATAATATGTATAGCTCAAATGGTAGAGTCGCAGTACAGTATTCAGAAAGTTCAAGTACTAGTCAGGCTGCACATTTTTCTCACCCTGTGACATAATTATGTAAACAGTCATTCTTGTAAAACAATAAACAGATCAAGATAAATATTTCACTTATCTTCAATTTAAATATCTAATCAACTTTGTCAATTTAGTAATGTTAAAACTAATACTTATTTTCATACATGTATAACACTTGTAGTTACATGTGACTGTATTTTATATTTCAAAACTTTGGAGTTATTAGTAACATAATGAGACATAAAAGTAAAATAATCACTAACAATTTAATTATGTTTGATAATTTTTGAAGACAATGGAAATTTTGAAATAAAGACATCTTTTTCCTGATATTTCACCTTTGAGTTTATTAACATTCACAACCATCTCTTGTTTAACTTCAGATTCTATATTTGGCGTCTCATTTTCCACAGCGTGATGTAGTTTATGTAACGAGCTCTCTGCGTTCTTTAGACGTCTCTCAGCTTCCATTCTTGCCATAATCTCTTCCTAAATAAGTTCAATATACAAACATAATTGAGCCGCGTCACGACAAAACCAACATATTAATGGGTTTGTGACCAGCATGGATCCAGACCAGCCTACGCATCCACCCAGTCTGATCAGGATCCATGCTGTTCCCTTACAAACCCTATAACAAGTAGAGAAACTGACAGCGAACAGCATGGATCCAGCCGCGCAGTCTGGTCTGGATCCATGCTGGTCGCAAACCCATTATGTTGGTTTTGTCGTGACGCGGCTCATATGTTAAAAAGTTTAAAACATAATGAATGTATCTCATTTTTAATCCTTAACCTGCCGAATTTCTTTAATGGACTTGTCCAGCATTAATTTTGGAACAATCCATTCCAAGTTTAAGGGATTTCAGGATCAAGATACAAAAATTGAGTTGCTAAAAGTATAGAGCCTGGTCAGACTGCATGGATATGTTTGTTGGTTTGGCTCTATACTGTGAGCAAAGGTAAATCACTTTTGGTTCTAGCAGTATAATGGTTTATATCATGTGTTTTCATTCACTTCACAGCCAGCCTTGCACATTATCTATAGGATGTTACTTAAGTTAATTAATAAAAACTTACAATAACACCAGTTTTAGTAAGTGTTAAGCTCTAAGTCTGGGGTAAGCTTAATAATAACCCTGGAATAAGATTTTTGGAATGCTATATAAAATGACTATAAATTTGAGATTTATTATATCACATGTAGAGTCACTAACCTCCCCAACCATGCCCCCCCCCCCCCCTCCCCCATTTTTGCCCTCATAATCTTATGATCATTTTCTTCAAAAAGTATAACAGAAAAATCTCCATCTTTTTTTTAACATATGAATAATGTATATAAACAGAATCAAATGTTCTGGAACAAAATACTATGCTTCTATTTTTAGTAAAGTTTAAATAATGAGACAATGACTTTATGAATTCCCCATTTGTTCTAAATAAAGCATATCTCTTGCACACAAGGAATTTAGAATTATTCTTTTCTAAGATTCAAACAATTATTGTTTTTAAAATACTTCAACTACTTACCTTGAGTTCATTTTCTGTCATCTCTTTTTGTACTGTTAAATCCTGAAAACAAAATTACAACAAAAAATTTAAATCATATCAATTCATAAACTAACATGGATGATGGAGACATGAAACAAATTTTAACAAGTTGACTTTAAAGTTATTTGTTGTATGCTAAAGGCGTAGGCCTAAGAGATTAATATATACTGACAACAAAGCAAAAACTTTTGTCTATTTTAAACCTTAAACACTCAATGGAAACTTGATTAACTACATTCAACAGGTTAGTGAAGTAATGTTTAGTGTTTTGACATCATATCTGGGCTCATAAGATGTGTCAGCATTCTTTATAAACACTGTGCACATAGGATGCAAATTTACAAACCTAAGAGCTTTATTAAATATGGAAATGATGGAAACCCTGGTAGAATAACTTTTATAACAAACGTAACAAAAATACAATGCATATGATACATGTACAATACAATTAACTTAATTAGAAGGGCGGGATCAATAAAATCTGTGCAGGAGTTAATTTAATACCTTGATGGTAGATTGTAGCTCCTGAGCTTGTTCGTTGTACATCGTCTTCTCTTCTTCTAACTCCCTAGCTCTCTGCTCATTTTCTTGTAATCTATATAATAACATTAAATTTGTGAAAGAAAACTCAATATTTATAGTTCCAATTTAAGAATAAAAAGTTATGGAGTGGACATGAAAGTGTTATGGACAAACAAGCAACCAAATTGAGATAAAGGGCTATTTCTATTGTTATTTTCTTTTTTTTAATAGATAGCCATTGGCCCCTTCCTTTATTGTTACAGAATGAACTCTATTGTTCTCTTTTGTTCTGTTTACATTTAGATGGCCCCCTATCCCTATGCAGTAGTGCGGACAGACGTACGGACAGATGGACAGACTGAGGCCATTCCTATAATCCCCTCCCCACTTTGGGGAAGTAAGTTAAAAGGAGATTTTCATTCTGATCACTATTTCTTCACAGAATCTATTGTGCTCCACTTTGTACTGAGATAGGGACATAATGAATACTCTTTCTTTTTATTTGTGTTTCTGAATGTCATTTTAAAAAGGAACTAGAAATGTGTCATCATGCCACGGATGCCCCCGCATGCAGCCAAAATTTCAGATGGTGCATTAATTTTTTTTTTTCATTTTAAGTTCAAAGCCCTTAAAACTTTTCAATGTTAACACAAACCATTTCCATACAACGTTCAAGGCACTGAAATTATTCAGTCTTAACCTTTAGAAAAAGCATATTGCATATTTGTAGCCAAAATAATGGCTAAAAGAATGAGTGCTGAAACTGAAAGTTCAAAATTTTTCCAACATTCAGGAAAGATAAGTTTGTCTAAAATCATTGAACCACGACCAAATTCAAACTTAAACTGCTTATTCCTAAGATGTATCTATATTATTTTCAAAGTGAAAGGGACATAAAAGGCCAAAAAATCATCAAACCATGACCAAATTCCAACTTGACCTGCCCATTCCTTTGACATATCCATATGTCAAATTAAAATTGAATATGTAACACTGTTAGGTAGATAATGAACAGAAACTGTAAATTTCATATTATTTTCAAAGTGAAAGGACATAACTCTGCCAAAAAATCCATCAAACCATGACCAAATTCCAACTTGACCTGCCCATTCCTTTGACATATCCATATGTCAAATTAAAATTGAATATGTAACACTGTTAGGTAGATAATGAACAGAAACTGTAAATTTCATATTATTTTCAAAGTGAAAGGGGCATAACTCTGCCAAAAATCATCGAACCATGACCAAATTTGAACTTGGCCTGGGCATTCCAAAAACATATCCATATGTCAAATTTGAGTTGAATGTGTTGTACCATTGGGGAGATAATAAACGGAAACTGAAAATTTCATATTACTTTCAAAGTGAAAGGGGCATAACTCTGCCAAAAATCATTGAACCATGACCAAATTTGAACTTGACCTGCGCATTCCTTTGACGCATCCATATGTCACGTTTGAGTTGAATGTGTTGTACCTTGAGGGAGATAATGAACGGAAACTGAAAATTTCATATTATTTTCAAAGTAAAAGGGGCATAACTCTGCCAAAAATCATAGAACCACAACCAAATTTGAACTTGACCTGCGCATTCCTTTGACGCATCAATATGTCACGTTTGAGTTGAATGTGTTGTACCTTGAGGGAGATAATGAACGGAAACTGAAAATTTAATATTATTTTCAAAGTGAAAGGGACATAACTCTGCCAAAAATCATCGAACCATGACCAAATTCGAACTTGACCTGTATTTTTCTCATGACATATCCATATGTCAAGTTTGAGTTGATTGTGTTGTACCGTTGGGGAGATAATGAACGGAAACTGAAAATTTCATATTATTTTCAAAGTAAAAGGGGCATAACTCTGCCAAAAATCATCGAACCATAACCAAATTCGAACTTGACCTGTATTTTCTCATAACATATCCATATGTCAAGTTTGAGTTGAATGTGTCCAACCGTTCTTGAGATAATGAACGGAAACTGAAATTTCATATTATTTTCAAAGTAAAAGGGGCATAACTCTGCCAAAAAATCATCGAACCATGACCAAATTCGAACTTGACCTGTATTTTCTCATGACATATCCATATGTCAAATTTGAGTTGAATGTGCCCAACCGTTCTTAAGATAATGAACGGAAACTGATGATGACGGAATGACAGAATGACGGAAGGACGGAAGGACGGAATGATGGAAGGACGGAAGGACGGAAGGACGGAATGACGGAACAGGGTAACACTATATGCCCCGGCCATTACATGGCGGGGGCATAAAAATAATTTGTATGATTAAATTTACTTTCAAAATCAACAAAATAAAAAAATAATTTTGTTGACAGCATTAAAGGGAGACACAGGCAAAATTTCCACTTCTTAGTTTTGAATTTTTCATTCATTATTCTGTAAATGCCCTCAAAATGAAACTATTAGACAGTCAAAGGAACAAAACTTTTCTCCATATAAAGAATTAAATGGTGGTTTCCTAACTTGACCCGCATGGGTCAGGTTAGAGCGCTAGCATTTCACAAAAATTGTCAAAGTGAACTCTGAAAACATTAAAGAACATGTCAAATGAATCACTTAGGCTTGTTTCAATCATAAAATATCCACAATATCTGTTATTGTAACTTCAAGGGTTTATTCAAGTCACCTGACTTGTTTAAAAACTATTTGGTGATTCTATTGGCCTCTAAATTTTGTTCAACATATATAGATATATTTACGCTTCAAACCCAAAATATATAGAATTTATACAGAAATTCATGCTGAAACTTCATGAAAAGTCATTTTAGCGTGATTTGAGTACATAAATCCATTTTAATATTTTCGTCATTATTTTGCCTGAATATCCCTTTAAGGACATATTTTGTGATGAATCTTATTATATAGTACCTGCTTAACTAATACTGTTTTTTACAGAAAAAACGAACAACAAATGGATAAATACCAAATACATCAACATAGGTTGTTTAAATGTTTCCTATTGTCAAGGTTAATAATTTTTTCTCAGTACTGTCTCAAATCTAAGAATTTTCATTGGTCACTGTACATCCTCTTACTTGTGTCTGACCAGTTCAGATACCCAACACCTGAGTTTGAGCTAAGAAACTTTCCTAACCTAGGACTCTGGTCTCAAAACTATTATATTGCCCAATTTTTTTAAGAACATTGATAAAATTTTAAGTTTTATCATTGTGTTTACCTCATTTCAGCTTCTGCCTTTTCTTGTAGCAATATTTGTGTTTGTTCTTCTATATTTCTCAGTTTAGTCTTCATTTGTTCTTCTGTCTGTTCTTTCTCATGGCTAATCTTTTCCTTCTCATGACTAATCTGTTCCTTCTCATGACTTATCTGTTCTGTGACTGATTCTTGCCGCTTCAATGTTGCTTCAATAGATTCCTTCTCTGTTGCTAACGCCTACAAATCATCATCATTTTTTCTTTTTTCAATTTATCATAGGTGAAACATAAGAGCCACATATAATAATGGCTAATTCTAACTCTTAAGTTCTTATCTTTGCTCATTTACTTAAACTTTGATGGACACACCTACTTAAAAGCAACAGTCAATACCAGTGAAATAAGTAGGTGAAATTAATTACTTTTCATCCTTACAAATGTACGGAAATATTTAGTACCACAGTACCCAATAAGGCACTGTCCAATATATCGAGATGCACTTAACAATCTGAATGTAAGTAAGTGAAGGTTGATATATATATAATCATCTTTGCTAGCATTCAACAGGGTTAAACAGCTTCAACAATTATAAGATATAATTCCAATTTCATAATAAGATCATTATACACCATCAGAAGGACTAAGAAGTGAAAATACCTTGAGATCAGTTTCCTGCGTTGTCAGCTGTTCTCGCAGTTCCAATCTTTCTGTATCCAATGATTTCATATAACTCTGCATATCTTCTAACTCACTGTAATATAACACATTTTATAAGAATTTTAAATTTATGTATTGATACAAAACTTCATTTTTTGGACATTGTTTCATTTCATGAGATATGAAGGTAGAATGCATTATTTTAGGACAAATTAACATGGAGTGCATTATTTTAGGACAGGTGAAGAAAAGTGAAGGTCGGATGCATTATTTTAGGATTAATGAAGGTGGAGTGCCATATTCTAGGGATAGCAAAGGTGGAGTGCATTATTTCAGGACATGTGAAGGCAAAATGCATTATTTAAGGACAGTTGATGGTGGAATGCATCATTTTAGGACAGAGAGGGTGGAAAGCATTATTTCAGGACAGGTGAAAGTGGAGTGCATTATTTCAGGATGTCACAGAGTGGTTCATTATTTCAGGACAAGTGACAGTCTGGTTCATTATTTCAGGACAAGTGACAGTGTGGTTCATTATTTCAGGACAAGTCACAGTGTGGTACATTATTTCAGGACAGGTGACAGTGGAGTGCATCATTTCAGGTCAAGTGACAGTGGAGTTCATCATTTCAGGACAAGTGACAGTGTGGTTCATTATTTCAGGACAAGTGACAGTGTGGTTCATTATTTCAGGACAAGTGACAGTGTGGTTCATTATTTCAGGTCAAGTGACAGTGTGGTGCATTATTTCAGGACAAGTGACAGTGTGGTGCATTATTTCAGGACAAATCACAGTGTGGTTAATTATTTCAGGACAAGTCATAGTGTGGTTCATTATTTCAGGACAAGTGAAAGTGTGGTTCATAGTCACAGTGTGGTTCATTATTTCAGGACAAGTCACAGTGTGGTTCATTATTTCAGGACAAGTCACAGTGTGGTGCATTATTTCAGGACAAGTGATAGTGTGGTTCATTATTTCAGGACAAGTGACAGTGTGGTGCATTATTTCAAGACAAGTGACAGTGTGGTTCATTATTTCAGGACTATGACAGTGTGGTTCATTATTTCAAGACAAGTGACAGTGTGGTTCATTATTTCAGGACAAGTGACAGTGTGGTTCATAATTTCAGGACAAGTGACAGTGTGGTTCATTATTTCAGGACAAGTGACAGTGTGGTTCATTATTTCAGGACAAGTGACAGTGTGGTGCATTATTTCAAGACAAGTGACAGTTTGGCTCATTATTTCAGGACACATGACAGTGTGGTTCATTATTTCAAGACAAGTGACAGTGTGGTTCATTATTTCAGGACAATACACAGTGTGGTGCATTATTTCAGGACAAGTGACAGTGTGGTGCATTATTTCAAGACAAGTGACAGTGTGGTTCATTATTTCAGGACAAATGACAGTGTGGTTCATTATTTCAAGACAAGTGACAGTGTGGTTCATTATTTCAGGACAAGTGACAGTGTGGTTCATTATTTCAGGACAAGTGACAGCGTGGTTCATTATTTCAGGACAATTCACAGTGTGGTTCATTATTTCAGGACAATTCACAGTGTGGTTCATTATTTCAGGACAAGTGACAGTGTGGTTCATTATTTCAGGACAAGTGACAGTGTGGTTCATTATTTCAGGACAAGTCACAGTGTGGTTCATTATTTCAGGACAAGTGACAGTGTGGTTCATTAATTCAGGACAAGTGACAGTGTGGTTCATTATTTCAGGACAAGTCACAGTGTGGTTCATTATTTCAGGACAAGTTAAGTAATATTGGTAATATCCTACACCTGTTTCATAGTATCTATAACTTTTCATATTTTGTCAGCACACTTTAATCTAATTTAGTAGAGGCATGCTTTATCACAGTCAGTCATAGATACTTCCCCAAATACCAATAACTCTATGCTATGTATTTAACACATGTCAGAAAATTGCACGTCTGTATGTTAACAAAAAGTAAGATTAAATTTTTGAAACAAAAAAAAAATTTAAAAAATTCAAACTGAAGTAGTTATGATTTGATAAAAGCAGACACAGCACAACAGGGTATCAAACATTTTCAAATCAGGAAGATATAGATCTATATCAAGGCAAAAGGAAATGTTAGTTTCTGGTTTTAAGTAGGGGTGTAACAATACAGCAAAAACCGTATTGCAATATATTGCCATTTTGCTGAAGCTTATTGCAATATATTGCAATACGTATTGTCGTGTATATGTTTTGATGTAAAGATGGAGTAACATTTATATATTATTATTATATGTATATATTTTTAGTAGAAACTTAATAAAAATGTAAGGAATAAATAGAAAGTAGTGTCACACAATTTGATAAACAAAACTAGTCGCGTGTAACCTTTCACATCTGGGCCGCTTATGTAAATTATGCGGCCGCTTATTGACTTTTAAGTGTACTAGTTGTCGGATACTTTTATCTTACGTTGGCGCCAACAAAATTTGCCAATTAAAGATTTTATGTGAAATTTGTACAAAATTAGAAGGCAATTAATTGAAAATTATGATTTTTATAAAATACCGGTTTTCCAAAAATCGTACCGCGGTTCGAAATTTATTTTTTCATATTGCAATATATCGGTATACCGGTAAACCGTTACACCCTTAGTTTTAAGACAATATTATTTTCTAAAACCTATTCATAATTTAGTATTTTCATTTTCTTGAATAAAGAATAAGTGGAATATGAAGAAAAATAAACATATCAGCAACAGATATTTCTTTTAAACTTTAACACTATCTTTAATCTTTAACCGGCTGGAACCAGAAGTAATTATTTTTACCTTCACCAACAAAACAAAGCCAGTGCTGTCTGACCCGACTCTATACTGTTGGTAGCTCACTTTTTCTATGTTAGAATTGAAACCCTTAAACTTTAAATGGACTGTTCCAAATTAAAAAACTTGGCTAATCAATAATACAAAACCAATGGGTCAGGGGTTAATACACTGTTACAAGTGGGAACAGACTGTATCTTAGTGAACATGTAAGCTCTGTGTGTAGGAAAACAAGAAACTTACTTTTTAACTTTTTCATAATCAGTTTTCATTTCCTCAGCAAAACTTTCCATCTTGGCCTTCTCTTTCTCCAGCTCTTCATTTAGTCTTTCTAACTCCTGTATAAACATACAATATATTCTTAGTCATATAATTACTTTTTAATACTATTAATTTAAAGGAGCTTCACTGAGGTCAAAAAGCCTAAAAGCATAAAATTTGAAATTCTTACATAGATCAAATGAAGAACTTAAAATGAAAATTTCTGCAAAGGATGGTAAAGAAATACACTCAGAATTAAATTGAATATCAATTTTTGTGCGATTCTTGGTCCGAATTGGAGTAAAACTGTTGCAATGCTTATCATTTTTGGGCTATTTGCACAATAAAAAAATATCATTTTGGAAATATAGGATGAGGGAATGTTCTGCAAATCTGCACACAAGTTATTGATCCAGACCATAAAGTTTCACAAATCTCGGAAAAATATTTCCCACACTGTCATGTCAAAAAATCTAAGTTGAGTCCCTTTAAACTTAGATTTTGATAGACATTAAAAATTTGTTTATTAGCACATGCATATACATATTATATCTAGGAGTAAAAAAGGGGCCCAACTGAGGTCCAAAAGCCTAAAAACATAAAATTTGAAATCATATATCAAATAATAAAGGGGCACTTACATCAGAACTATAATTATGAAACAGATTGTACAGAAATATACTTGGAATTAAATTGAAAAACGATACTTAATGCAATTTTTGGCCCAATTTCAAACAAAAGTTTATTTAATATTAAACAAACATGGAATAATTATGATAACCAATTCATAGATCAACATTTTCACTATTACTAACCCATGTTTTTTCCTTCTCGTCAGCCAACTCTAGTACCTCAGACTGTAACCTATCTGTATAAATACAATCAACAAATTTATGATTGTTTTAATCTGCATTATATCATATCAAATGTTTTAATTCATCATCAACATATGTAACAAAATATGAATCTAAAAATATTTTTTGTTGTTTGTTTTTGTTTGGTTTAGATCCTATAACGCTGGATCAACAGGACAGATGACTATGGCTAACCTAGGGTGTTATAATCTTAAGGCATCACCAGAGGTCAAAACCACCCCACCCGGTGGAGCTAAGAGATGCATAAATTCCAGTAATTTAAACCAATTTGGTCACCACTTACAATCATGCAAGGCTAACAATGACTGCAATTTTGATGCCTCAACTCTTAAAGGTAACCCCTTAGCCAAAAGGGAACCTTAACACTTTACATAAAACAAAGTCATTGAAATGCCAAAAATTAGTACATGTAATAAATTTTTTACAGTCAAAGGTGACATTACATGTTTAAATAAATCTCTCAATTAGCTGCAATACCATTATTACCATACAACAAACAATTTTAAAAACAGATCAAAGGCTTCCTCATAACATTTAATTTCCTGATTCACTTTCAGTTCCTGCTTTGTTTAGATAATGACATTGAACCATTTGTATTCATCAATGTAGGAAAATTTCAATTATTTGTGTTTAAGGCCTAGTTTTTAATAACTTACTGTTTATGATAATGTTATAAGTAGACACAACCACTAAATTACTTCATTCTTTGTTTGTTTGTTTGTTTTTTGGGTTTTATGTCACATCGACACAGTATAGGTCATATCGCGACATTCCAGCTTTTACTGGTGGAGGAAGACCTCAGGTGCCCTTCCGTGCATTATTTCAGGCACAAACAGGCACCTGAGTAGAACCACCGATGTTCCGTAAGCTAACTGGATAGACTTCATTCTTTAGCCTAGCTGGCCACCTTTATCATAAAATAACACAGAAGAATTAAATGGTGAGAGACCAGTTGTGTCAAAGTAAGCACCCTAAATTTATGTTATCTACTCTATAATGTATACTTTCATAAAGAAAAATGCTCAAGATATCGACCACGATAAACTATGATAGATAAGATGTCAATTATAATACCATCAAACAACATGACATTGTTTTATCTATTCAAGTAAACAAGTTATGATATATGTAGAGTATTACCAAAGTAGTCTTGTTTCTGTTTGGCTAGTGTGAGACCATGTTCCTCTAACTGTCGTATTAGATCATCTGACATCTGTTGATTAGCCCATGTTCTAAAATATAAAACTTAATTAATTATATCAATTATGAAAATGATATTGTATAATTATAAAACTAATTTTTGCAATATCATTATTATTCGTTGTTAACTAATTTTCAAGGTTTTCCTGGGTAGGTCAATCCCCGAAATTTAAGATTCAACAAAATTTGTGTGCTGTAAGATTATTTTGCATCACATTATTTACATTTTACCTTATGGAAAAATAAACAGTCCATAAATAAACAACCCACGAAAATGTTCTGTGTGACAAAAACACGAAATTTTATGTCCACGAAATTTAGTGAATCCACAGTATCTTATAATTTAAGGGTTACTATTTTAAATGATTATGAAGATCTTTTATTATTATGAATGTACAAATATGTTTTGCTAGCTTGAGGGCTTTCAATGTCAGGATATCGCCTACAAAACTGATCAGCCAACCTTGGGGCGAGGGGGCGGCTACAGAAACGTGTGGATATGACTAACACTAAAAGTGGGTGTAAAGTGTAATACTTACATTCGTTTGGATTTCTCTAAAACTGAGATCCATTTATCTCTCTCATAATCATTCTCTGCTGCTAATGTTAGGTTACCCTGGAAACATAAAAAATTAAAATGTATCATCCTTTTAAAACACATACACATGTTGGACATACATGAACATTGTACAAATTTTAATGGTCCTGATGCTGTGTACCTTTGTTTAAAATGTAGAAGAATTATTTTTCGATTTATGAAGCAGTGTTTATAAAACAAATTAATGCAGCAAAATTTCAAACAAAATGAATAAAATTGTGCTTCAAAGCTCAGGGACTACTAGACTTATAGTCATAGAAAACAAATTCATTAATAGTTACAAATGGCCTTGAGGAATAATAAATATCATTTAAAATAAAAGACAATGATATTTTGATTCTGTTAGGGAAATATATTTTCACACATAACTTATATTCAAATTCTACAGAATCTTCAATATGTGTTGTATGTTATGCTAAAGCTTGGCTAAAATTTATACTTGTAAATTCATAGTACCTGTATTAAGTCTATTATGAATTTACACTTTCGTGTACAAGAAATATAATGAATATATTGTATTACCTCTATTTCTTCTGATGAAATAATGAAGGCAGATGGCTGACCCTGTTCTTTATTACTCACTGTGATATTACATACACCTAATGGTATAGCAGCCTGAAATAGTAAGTGTCACAATAATGTAGTTCTTATGTTAACACCTATTCTCATTTACTACCAAATATATATCTAGTTACAATATACTGAACATAACAAATAACTAGTAATTGAAGGTGTAATTCATATATCATTTCGAGTTATTTATTTGTAAAAGTCTTTTGTGTTTACTCATATGTTTACAAACAAGCTTATCATGTAAATTTATTGTATCATAAATCACAACAATAATTATAAACATGGGAAATAGAAAGATTGTTATAATTACAATGACATATTAAAAGTGCATTGATGGTATGCCTAGTGGTTAAGGTGCGTGCCACTCAACCAAGGGATTGTTAGGTTCAAGCCCAACTTGTGTCACTACCATGTTACCTCATATGATATATATTCTATCTAGGTGGCACAATATAACCAACATGTAATGAACAGTACTTGTAATTCAGTTGTTTGTTTAAAGTAAATATGAGCCGCGCCAACGAAACCAACATAATGGGTTTGCAACCAGCATGGATCCAGACCAGCCTGCCCATCCGCTAAGTCTGATCAGGATCCATGCTGTTCGCTATCAGTTTCTCTACTTGTTATAGGGTTTGTTAGCAAACAGCATGGATCCTGATCAAACTGCGCGGATACGCAGGCTGGTCTGGATCCATGCTGGTCGCAAACATATTATGTTGGTTGTCATGGCACGGCTCATACGGAATTCATCACTGAGAAATGGTTAGAGTCATTATAACATGCATTTTTTAAATTTACTATTACAAATTTTCTTCTTTTTTTTTAATTTTATCTTATTATGCTATCTTCTACACTCCTGTCATTAAAACTTGCCTGAGATAAACAAAACTGGGACACTAGACAGATGTTAAGCAAGACATTATGAAAATCTTTATCTGTTGTGCATTCTATTTATCTATTGCATTTACTTTGCTATATTTTTTGTTCTATTTTTGTTCTATTTAGGTAGTTCCAAAATTTTGCATTTCACTAAGATTCAAATAATATAATAAGACTTTATATATATGTATGTTCAATATTTCATTAAAGAGCATAATTATGATAATTTTTTTTAAAAAACTACATATAATATGTGGTTTTAAACAAATGACTTATATATTTGTCATTTGCTGATTCTATAAATATGTAATGCTTTAACCATTAAAATGAAGGGAGTACACTAAACTGTGTCTGTCCATACGACACATGCCCTCACTCCACTTCCTATGGCCATTCGCAATGTCCCTAATGTGTTTAAAAAACCTTGCCTTATTCTTTCTAAAGTAATGGATTTAACAAGGATTTTACACATAGTAATACTGTGACTTTATGACCTTAAAACCAACAGAACTTATTTACTAAATCTAAAGACTTTAGACCAAAATGTTCTCTAGTTTTTGGTTAGACAGGCCTTTAGTGGCTAATATCACCATGACCTTATCATTTGACCTATTGACCTCAAAAATGGGTCATCTTCTAGTCATAACCAACCTTCACAAGAAATGTAAGGACTGTAGGCCAATGTGTTCCCTAGTTACTGGTCAAACATGATTTTAGTGGTCAAGGCAATGAAGATATTGACCTTTGATTCATTGAGCTCAAAACCAATGGGGGTCATCTAATAGCCATGACCAAACTCTACATCAAATCTTAGTACTGTAGTCAAAGTCTTCACTAATTATTAGTCAGACATGCTTTCAGTGTCACACTGTGGCCTTGACCTCTGACCTTCTGACCTTAAAGCCAATAAGGTTCATCTTCTGGCCATGGGCAATGTCCCTGCCATGACTTATTCCTTCTCAAGTTATTTTATTGGCCAAGGGAAAAGGTGTCATACATTTCGACTGACTGACAGACAGACAGACAGACCCATTACAATATCGCATAGAAGTCTAAATCAGAAATAGTTACAATAAGGCATACAGAATAACCAACACAAAGACAACACAAATATTTCATGCTATTAACATTGACACAGATTTGCCACAAGTTTACAAAACATGTCAAATTTATTATCTTGAATGTTTTTAACTATCACCTTTCCCATATCAAATACTCCCAAACACACATTTATAAAAACATTTTACTTCCTTCTCTGTCATACTTGAAGTTTAGATAAGTTGATAAAATTTATCTATATTTAGAATTCAATTTAAAAATACAGGTAAAGACTGCTTGAAGGATAAGATGATTCAAGTAGGCAAAAACTGTTAGCTTTACTGACTATATGTAATCATATGCTATATATTCAGACTTACAAATTAATTTTAAGTTTCAGGGAACAAAAATTTGGTTATTACTGGTGACAAAAGCCTGTCACTTCAGGATGGCCTGGCTCTATACTAGTGACATAACTATTCTATATGAATTTTGAATTACAACCTTACATAAATGTAAATCTCAATTCAAAATTGTACAATAAATCAGCTCAAACTTTTGCTGTTTTATTGGAAAACCTTCATTAAAACAGAAACAAAAACAATCAAGTGAAATTCCAATTATTTTCTGCACTCAGCATTAGAAAAGATGTTTCATCATGACATGTGCTCAAGAAACTTAATAACTGTATGAGGACAAGTTAACAGATGCCTTGTTTATTATCTTCATCTGGCATATTCCATTTCACTCTATACATTCATAGGACAAAATCAATATTTCCAATATCTATACATCTTAACTCTCTGACACATACTCTATTAGATATAGGTCACATATTTTTCTACATTATCAAATAACTTCATTGTTGTTTTAATTTCTGATCAATGAGAAGTTTAATCAATTATATAAACATTCCCTGACCTTTAACCAGACCTTTAATTACTATATAATTCATTAAATAAAACATAACAATGCAGAATAACAATTAATCCAACCTATTTCACAGATCAAAGAAAAAAAACATGCCTAAAGAGGTATAAAATAGTGACAGTTACATGTATATGATAAATATCTGCATGGTAATTTCCTAATAAACTGTAAACATGACCTAGTTTTAGTACAATTACAACAGATGAATTACAGAAACATGTCTCAATATAACAAGTGAAACAAGAATATCAGAGTAACAAATGATTGATGTATCACTATATTTGCCAAAGCTAACAGCTTATCTATAATGGAAATGAAAATGCGTTCAACACAAGTATAACGCCAGACCAGACTTCAATTCCGTGAAGTTGGACCCATAATGGACCTGAAATTGATAAGCATTTGCCACTTGTATAAAGCCAGGCCAGTCTACAATTCCTTGAAGTCTGACCAGTTTCTATTCTGATGCCAGACCAACTTCATATTTTCATCCTGATAACCCCATAATTGATGAAAGGACTATTCCAAAAGTAGAAACTGGATAAGTCCTTTTAAGAATTTCAGCAGGTAAAAGGTTAATACGAGGAAAGGAAGTCAGTAACCTTGACCCGAACACTCTGAGGAAGAATGCCATCGAGGACACTAACACAGCATGAGAAACTGCAATAAGGACAAAAGTAGTATGAATAAAGGAACAAATGAATCACTAATGCTTCCTCAAACAATATCCGAGAAACTATAAAAAACTTGTAAAGAGCGCAAAAAAATTCTCTCAAAACAAATGATATTGCAGCATTATTTGTTAAATTAAAAGAAAACCATTACATGTCTTTTTTTAACAAGGGTTTTATATGTGGACCTTGTTCAGAGGTTGTCTTTTACACAGATATGACTGTATATAGATTTTCTTTTAATCAAATAAATTCATTTTAAATATAATGAATGAAGAATGCACTAACAAAACTTCAATGAAAGGTTTACAAAACAAACCTTTGGAGCTGTATTGAAGAAATTCCTTCGTGGGAATTCTTTCTTCTCTGTTTCTGGATAGTAAAACATCCAACCATCTCTAACAATGAAAAATCTGAAATATAAACAATCATGTATAAGATAAAACATTTGTAAAAAGTTAAAAAGAATGTTTTTAACCACTTCATGAAAGCATTACATTTAGTTTGTTTTAACCAAACTAATGTATCTGCTATTAACTGTGAATTGTAAGCCTTTTTTCAATGTTTTAGATATAATGTTATTCGAACTAGTTATTTTCTCTATAACTGGTATTCAAATGGAACAACAATTCATAATTTTTATTTGCTGATGAACAAACCATTTTTAAATTATCTGTGTTTGTGTTTCGATCACTCGTTAAAATATTAACTCTTGACTTATTATACTCTAATCTTATGTTGTGCAACTACATTCAATACATGTATATCATACTGTCCTCATATTGATGTTAGGCCTTAATTTACTTAAATAAAGTTAAGCTGAGTAACCCTCTAAATGCAAGCTTAGAACAAGCCTATATGCTACCAGTGTAGAGCCGTCCAGCCTAAGCAATCATGCCAGTTTACTGTATAGATTTTACCCTGATTTACAATTTAAATTGTTTCCATTTTGTAGCATTTACAATGTTTAAGCTCGAACTGATTTCTAGCTTTTTGAAAAAGGGTGGCATTTTTAAAAATATTCTTCAATTTCATGAAAGTGTACAGATTTGAACCAAATAAACTTTGGTCTCAAACATGATTGTGTTGTTATTTTGTTAAAATAAAAAAAAAACAATAACAAATAGCTAAGATATTTTGTACAAAAAGGCATTTACATATACAAATGTACAAAGAAAGTAACAAATGTACTTTGTTCCCAGTGAGTCTAACACACATTATTGTATCAGCAGTTTTTTACATATCTTAATCTACATTATCCCTCTGGTGATCATGTAAACCATCAATTAAGAGGACATTTCTATCATCTTGTACAATAATGAGTAGCTGGGGGTGACTGGCCATAATTAACTGTACATAAAACACATCATGATTACATTATTATGATATTCACCTATACTTTATATAACATTTTCACCACTATATTTATATAATGCACTAGCCTTACTTTAAATTTGGAATTTTTCATTTGCAATAAAAATAAATAAAACATAGCATACTGGTCTAACTATTGGTAATATACTTTTTTTTCTTGCTGCTCAATGCTCCTCCTTTACCTTTCAATCTATTCAGGTCAACAAAACAACAAAAGGGCAAAAAGAAAATGTCTTTTTCTCTTGTTTATTTGTTTGTATTTAAAAGCACATTGACATAGTACTGGTCATACCATGCCAAACATTTTTTTCCAGTAGATAAAAAAATGTAATGAATTTTGTTACCGTCCTTTTTTTATAAAGGAAAACAAAACCGGACCTACTGACAGAATTCGCAATGCTTTTAATCATGTGACAATAAAACGCTTTTAAATGAGTACCAAACAATAATAGATTCTTAGTCAAAAAGGAAGAATTCTGACCGAATCGAAATAAACTATACAAAAAGTCTCTTTTTTATGCAAATTTTCAAAATTAATCAAGATATCTGTAACATAATATTTTACTGTCACTTGGATTATTCAATACATTATTTATGTAGATACCAAAATTTTAGACATATTTTGAGACAGGATCATTGCTGTTCACTTGCAGACTCTTTAACAAGTAAAGAAATTGATAGCGTACAGCATGGATCCTGATCAGACTGCCCGGATGCGCAGGCTGGTCTGGATCAATGCTGGTCGCAAACCCATTATGTTGGTTTTGTCATGGCGCGGCTCATATATATACAGATAATTATGAAGACAATGTTATTTTATGACATTAGTAATATAGGTATAACTGTCAACTTACTGTGTCAACATAATTACTATCATTATGATTAGGTTACAAAAACAAGAGGGCATGATGCACCTCACACTGTTTTTGCCTCAAGGTGTAAAATCTCTCTCAGTCAGGCCATGCATAAATAAATGTTTATTTGGGACAAAGAGGTGGTAGTAAGGGTAAAACAAGCCTAACACACAAACACAAGGCAATACTCTTTAGCACTTTGTTAATTCATTGGTATTCATTTAAGAACAGGGGCGTCCATACTCAAGTGGCTAGTTTTGTTGATTTCAAAGCCACTTGCCTCTCGACTCAGTGTATTCAAAACCCCAAACCCCCTGGGACCTGAATTCTTTCATGTGAGGAAGCCATCCAGCTGGCTTACAGGATATCATTGGCTCTACTCAGATGCCCGTTTGTGCCTGAAAAATAATGCATGGAAGGGTACCTTAAGAACAAAATAAATCTTGTTTAAATGATGAAAAAAGAACCCACACCCAATTTTTTTTGGGAAATTCTTTCATGAGTTACTAATTTATCTGGCAACTAACAAATCTAACAAGGACAGTCTGATGATATGATACATGTCAATTATTTTCTTTTACAAAGTTTACAATAAATCTTTATAATAGACAAAGACATTTGTATCATGAAATAATGTTTTCAGTAACAAAATACTGGTACAGAAAATAATAAGGAAGTAAATTGTGTAATTCGGAAACTCAAACTGACTAATATTAGTTAAAATTGAGGAAGTTTATAAATTTCTTAAATGAATCAGAAAAAAATAAAGTCTAAAAATATTATATTTGAAGAAATATATAATAGCATGTTTGTAGAAATATATTATATTTAAACTAACTTATTACAAATAAAGTCAATAGTTTATACATTAACATGTGTAACATCATGTTAACATTCTTAGTATACATGTAATTTAAATAATGATTTATCCCTTATTATTATTATAAGATTTAACCAGTCAGACGTCTGTTTATTCAAATTATTGCAGAAACTTTGATATTTTGGCCACTAAAGCCCCTATCTTTCGTGGTGTGTTTGCCATTGTGAAAAAAGCGTCTGCATGCACAAATCGCTTGTTTACCCTGACCTGTCTAAATCCCTGATACCATCACTGATTGTAGAACGGTTAAAAGTCAGACAGAAAATTTGCCGATAATGACACAGAATCGGTTAGCAATTTATACATACAAGCAGTTACCAGGAATAAATAAATTTTGGATACTTAAACAATAATTACCAATTTAAACAGGATTGCGCTAATAATAGGAGAAATAACTTAATGAAAAGACATCCAATTAAGGTAGATTATGACTGCGTCATAGAAAACGTGCTTTGCAAATTTCAATGCATTATACATGAAATTAATGTGACAAAAACTCAGAGAAGCGGAAACACCGGATATGTACTGATAGAGAACAAACCGTTATCAGACGGCATTAACATGTTTACAAATCAATTAAAACTCTACCTCCTCTACGTACCCTTCTGTTTAGCAGGAACAGGCATTTTCATTTTCAATCCCCACTTAACTTTTTAATATGGCTAAAAATACGCTCTAAATGTCTCCACCCATGAGGTAAAATTGAAACTGACTGAAACTTTGAATTACTTCCTAGACGTGTTCTACATAAAAAGTGTAAAAAAATCTAAGCATTTAAGTTTGTTTACAATTACTTAAACGTTAAAATCAAAACATTAATTGTATTGTAATTTTGGCTATACCTCTTTTCCTTAATTGCTGCTAAATTTGAATTATTCCAGACGTGTAATTTAAAAATTAAGCATTAATTTAGACTAAGCTTAAAAAACAAACGTTAATTTTTATTTGACTCCTTCTTAGTTGTGATTTCAATAATTAAAATTAGTGATGTCTCAAAAACTTGAAAAAACTTATTTTTGAGGTCTCTGTATTGAATAATTATAGTATTGATTCCAAAAATTTTTATTATTAGCACAGACTACTAAAAATCATAAAAATTAATAGTTAGAAATTTTTTTTTATCTATTTGACCATGTTTACCTTCTCATCCATTTTGACTGAGCGTTTGACCGCTTCAGTAATACTCCGTGTATTTGTTGACGGTTCTTCCAGTCAAACAAATTGTCCGCGTGTTCTGGCATTCCGTTCATGTCAATTCCATAGTGTTTTACAAATAATTTTTCACATAAACATGTCATTTACAGATTTAGCTGTCTGCATGTCTTTACTTCCGGGTTAGAAAATCTAAGTACTTTAGCCGCTTGAATCTGTCAACCAGCAAACGTCTGATTGTATTGATTTTAGAAAATATCGAATGAATGATAGATCGCCTCCGACGTCTTGTTTGCGTTTGGTACAAGTATAGTGTGTTAAATGTATGTTGTCTTCTCAATTTAGCTTAATGACTAAATAATTTTTGTGTAGCGAGAATGTTTGTTAATAACTTCAACAAAAGAGTACAACAATGTCACTTAATATATTTACTATTACCACTGACTGTCATTATAAATTCCGTGCTATTACTATTACTATTGCTATTGTCAAATTTATTTTTGTATTTTTCATCTTAAGAAAAACTGACAACAGTTAGTATCTTGTCAAATTTTTGTATTTTCCATTTTAAGAAAGAAATGACAACAGTAAGCATTTTAAATTTATTCAAGTTTTGTAGCACCAAATACAACATTTCAACTTTGTCAAGGTCTTTATATATTATTATTAATGATGTTCTTCCATTGTAAGATAACAGGAACTTACATTTATTCAAATTTTGTAGCAACAAGAACTTTCTCTGTAAAACATTAAAATTTGTTAAGGTATTTTTATTGTATATCATGTTCTTACAGTACATGATTGTTTACTGTATTGGCTATAAATGTATATTGTCATTTTATGCCAAATAAAGAATATGTTATGTTATGTTATTACTTATTTTTGTTCAGTGAAAAGTGTGATTTTTATTTACATGACTTAATCTACGATACCTTCGCTTGATTTTTCACAGTTCATTGTTTCCAGAAAGATTAGTAAAGTTGACTCTATATTAATTCAAAGAGAAAATTAATTTAGAAATGTCAGAGTTTTTGAATGATCAATTCCATCTAGGCCTACTGCAATACTTTCTTTGGTTTGGCATTGAAAAATTGTTAATTTAGTTGTCATCAATATAGATCTAGTTAATTTCATTATTTGCAGTATATAATTTAATAAAAATTAACTTTCTTTGTTAGACAATTCTTTTTTCATTGTCATGAATACATGTAGATTCTATATGCCGCCGGCAAAAATATTTTCAAATACTGTCTTTGAAAGTTGTTATATTTTGGAAAATCAAGTTAAAAATGAAATTTATTTTGCTTAATGTTTATGAACATAGCATTTATCTAACAAACAACAGGGGAAATAAATTCTATTTTTGATGATAATAAACCGCTATCTATATTATTGCAAGACTGTACCACAGAGCTACATGTATATGAATTTCTGTAATAAAAGTCTCTGAGTGTACAAACACAAGAAAGGACGAACAAATATGTTTTTTTCAAAAGCGCAAAAGTGATTTTCCGGCATTGAACGCAACATCTAAAACATAGTTAAAAATTTGTATGATTAAGTTTTGCTATATATGAAGAGCATTATTTTCGACTTTTATAACCAAGAATAAACAACAAAAACAATAACAACAACAACAACAACAACTTTATGGTTATAAATAAGGTTTGATATTTTGATAAGTCACCATACATGAACAGATAGAACAGGATTTATTATTAAAGTTCAAACAGAAAGAAGAGGTCCTTATAGAACAAGAACGTGTTTTGATGACCTGATAATTGAATGCTCTCACTCTGAATTCAGAATTTTGATATATTTATGAATGATTAGCCTTTCATTATTTACACCCACCTTTACATTGTTCTTCATTCACATTGTAAATAAATGCAAGTCATAGATTCATCCAGTATTTAAAATGCCTTTAATGTACATTATATATAAAGATCAACCATGTATACTATTAACATTATTCAAGTAAAGGTACTAAATTCACGCATAGACTTTGATTAACGTTATAACTGAGTTATGTAACTTATGTTATTTTTTTGGTACGGAGAACATACATGCATACATACAGTTTTAAAATTTCATATGACAAAATACATCCCTTATTTTTTATGTTCTACACTGGATTGTATTCCTTCTTATTCATTTGTTTGTAACAGTTTCAAGTTCTGCGACGATTTTTGAGAAAATTAGGGGGGAAAATCAAAGTAAAAAATGGAGTTTATTTAGCAAGAATGACTGTAAAGGTTACCAGCCCTTTAGAAATACATCTATTTAGAAATCTATCCAACTCATGGCGGTGCTAGAATTTTAAAAACAAGAGCCAGTTGAACCTGGTGATTCTCCCCGAATAGGTTTTGGACACAGAGAATTAAGTAGTTTGCCCATAAAGTGTTGCCCAAATTCAGCATAAAGATATTATGATATGGAGAGTTGCTGGTAAAGGTTAAAACTGTTGAAATATGCAATGCAGAGAAAGTATTTCTTGTTGATAACATTTGTGGTTCCCGCGTAAAAATAAAAAAGGGCAATAACTCCAAAATTAGATAAGACAGAGTTACTGTTCTTAATCACTGTACTTCAACTCAATGATATCTAGTTTCTTGTAATACACCTCTTTGTAGTTTCAGTGTTAAATGTTAATCTGGCTGTAAATGTAAACCGTTACAACGTTTTATTTTTGTAGACAAACTATGCAGCGGTAGTAAGTAAGTAAGTAAATTATTTATTAATGTGACATGTGTTATTTACAATATAATCATATACAAATATTTTAATAAAGGTATTTAAAACACCCGGCCTTATGGGCCTATTAGCACTGCTGACATTTAATACAATATCTACATATATGTATAGTTCTCAAATATTTATAATAAAAGTAGTACAAGTTCATTTTCAAATATATGGACGATGTAAATAGAATAGAATACTTTCACTTTCATCTTTATCAAGGAAATTAAGCAAGTAGATAATTGATGGAATTAAATATTAGTGATAAACATATATATGTTTTTGTGCAAATCGCTATGAGTATATAAGGCTTCGCCTAAAAATAAAAGCTTTCACAATGTATTTTGCTGTTTTTCTAGCATTTTCATTTATTAAAAAGGTCAGTCTATCCTCCTTATTTCTATGAATATGGATATGACAATAAATCTTCGAACACTTGCTGTCTTATATTATCATATTTTGTACATTCTACGAGAAAATGAGTTTCATTTTCTATTTGTTCTTGGTCACAGAATGTACATATTCTCTGGTTTACATTTTCGCCAATAAAACGCCCTGTTTCGACTCTTAAGGGTAAAATCCCGTACCGTAACTGTGCTAGCATCGAGGGTTCATGCTTCTCTAAATTTAACACTATGTATTGTTCGAATTTAAAATTTGTTTTAAATAGTTTATATGTTAGTAGTTTTGGGCTACTATGTACAGATGTATGCCATTGTTCGGTAAACAGACTTTAATATATTTTCATTTGCTAGTTTTAAATCAACTGGTCTCTTTTCTGTAAAATAGGTACAGAGACCCAACGATATCATTATTTCGGTATTTACATCAATCTAAAGGGAAGCATAACAACTGCCAGTTCACACGTATCACATGCAAATTTATGTTTGTGAGATTTTTTGATACTCGTCATCGGTTTACAATATGGGTGAATCATCCAGGAGAGTTTTTGTTATTTTAGATTGCAAGATACAGAGAAGATGCCCTGTTCACCCCAAGCTTTTCCTGGTTCTTTAACGAGCCGGGTACACGGGACCTCGTTTTAAAGTCTCTTCCAAAGGTCTGTGTAGTAATTTTAGCTGGCGTGCCTGGGAATGGAACCTACAGTGACGAGATTACAAGTATCGCACTCTAACCGATTGAGCTTATCAGTTTACTTCGATGTGCAACTAAACAGATGCCCGTCACGGCTGAAATCACAAACAACAATGTGTAGGTCAGTATCTAGCTTTAATAGTGAACCAGTATTGAATAGTTTTGGGAAATGAACCGTAACAAAGTATGTTAACAACAATGTTAAGCCTAAAAAGGGTACTTGTATAACTGTCACCAGGGTATCTTCTTTGAAACTTCTTTGAAAGGATACGCTGAAATAGATGACACATAACCTGTACAACGAAATAAATGGGGAAAAATGTTCTAAAATTTACCCCCACATGTTAGTCTTTATTTTAATATTTTGATATTTTCTGATTTGTCCTAGATAAAATTGAAACGTTTAATTTTAGATCTGACAAATGAACTGTCTGCCCATCTAAATAATAACTTCCGATCGCAAGCAAAACTATGCCCGCATGAATGCGATGAATACTTCATGTTGCAGCCGTGTGACGTCATTACAATATAAAAGGAATAAGAGCCTTCCTGGTCTTTGGATAATCTTCAAATTTCTCTTTATAATATCTGAAATATAATGACAACATGTCAACCAAAATAGTCTTTTCCTGCACACAAATATTTCTGATTCTGTGCTCGAAACATAAAATAAACAATATGATATTCTTAATTGACTACAAGTAATCAACCACACGCGAATGTAATATGAAAAATAAAGTACCAGATTCAAAAGGATGTGCAATAGAAATTATGCCAGAACAATTTAAAATTCTGACAAACATTAGAGAATATGTCTACTAGACAAAGTTTTCCAGATAGTTTACACTTAAAGTTATGTCCTGCGTTATGCCTATCACATGACGTGTCACTAAACATACCTGTGGTGATGTAGCGCACGTGGACCAAGGTTACAGCACGTGAACACTGTGAAGGCTAGAGAAGGTATAGACCATGCGGCTAAAGCAAACCCAGTCCATTCGAGCATTTCTCCAAAAAAGTTAGCCCCGGAAACGTAAGTAAACATTCCACCTGAAAAGGTGCAAGACGAAAAATATTATTTGTGTAACAAGACTTTAACTTTGACTCCCCGTCAACATTAACTGCACGGTAATTAATGGTGACACGGTAATTAATGGTGACTAAAATGGCGATGCTTAAATATATATCACTACAATATATTTCTATTCTAACACTAAATTTAACTAAAAATAAATAGATATAAAAGTTTTCTTTAAAAAAAACAACAAAAACAAAAAACACACACACATCAACTAATGTATATATTGTAGAATTATGATTTGAGCCGCGTCACGACAAAACCAACATAATGGGTTTGCGACCAGCATGGATCCAGACCATCCTGCGCATCCGCGTAGTCTGATCAGGATCTATGCTGTTCGCTTACCAACTCTATAACAAGTAGAGAAAATGATAGCGAACAGCATGATGGTCGCAAACGCACTATGTTGGTTTTGTCATGACACGGCTCATTTCAAGATAAATTTTATCTAGAATTCTGCGGTTTAGTTTAGTTTATACAAACTTTATTACTTTCGTCCTAGAAGGAGGTTATGTCAAGTATCAATTGGGCATATGATTAAGTATTATATGTAGTATTATAAATAATGGAACAAAAAGTTCATTCTGATAATGACAGATTGGTTACCACGTGGAATTTTGTATCCAGTTTCTCCAGGTTTCCGTAAATTTCTCAGGACATGATCAGAATGTACATTTATACTCATCCCAGTTACGAAAATAACCACACCTAGAAACGAAACAAAAAAATGCCTGAAAATGATTACAGATATGCAAAATACTCAAAAAAGTGTGTATCAGTAAATATATAGTAAATATATATAAATAGATATTGAATCTCTGTCGCAGAAGGGCGGAAGCAAGAAACACTGTTTCATATTCATAGGAAGTATCTGGCATGTGTTTAAGTCATGCATGAATAATAACATTCTTTAAATGATGTTATATACATGCAAAATTCGCCAAGTTTATCTGATAAAAAACCAAGGAATTTCTTCAAGCTCCTGTGTAAAAAAACAGGTAACGTATCAAGCGGTAAGACGTGAGCCTGGCTTCTTTGTCCTGGTGAAGTTCAAATGTCAATATACATTTTTTACTCATTAATATATATATAAATGTACATTATGTAATAAATGTAGTTCATACAGCAAATTATTAAACATATTTATTTTAAATAAAATTCTTGTATAAAAAGCTATAAATGAACACAGAAATGTGGAAATAGGTTGTATATACATGTATTTAAAATAAATAAATTACCGAACAGGAAGTGGGGTTTGTTGAACCAGTTTTCACCATAATCAGCATAATATAAAATATGATAACTCTGCATATACCCGTTCACGGTACAGAAGACGACCGCAAACAAAAATGCTTCTATAGGGAACGGTTTACCACCTCGTATCAAAAATGGATAAATACAAGCTCTGAAATAAAGCAACACAATAATACTGTATATTTATTTAAAGGCACTTTAGCTCTTTAAATACTGGAGGAAATAAAAGTTTCTATTATACCTCAGACGTTTTAGAGAAATAAAAATGCTAACATTTCTGAGGCATAATTGGCCTTTAAGCTTGCATTGAACACGTTTTCACTTAAAAACCACGTGACGACCGAGTCAAGTAATTTACAATGGAAAATACTTAATATACTTATATACATGTAGTTAATGAGTATACATATCTAATACAATTTAAACTATATGTATTAAGAAAGTTCTCTATGTAAGACTTAAGACACTAGCTAAGGACGGAAGCAGTTACATAATTTATATAAAGAAATATACATTACCTGTGAATATAGTGTACTATTATTAAACATAACAGTAAAACATTGGGTAATTTAATCTCCTTCGGCGTATTTGAGAACAGGAACCATAATGGAATAACCAAGGACGGTAACTCTTGTATGAACCAAGCGATTTTACCATTCACTGCTAAACCGCCAGTATTTTCTAAATATTTACCGTATGCGGCAGGTTTAATGAAAACTAAAAATATCAGAAGTAAAATGGCGGTTATTAAATATATTCCTGATATAAGGTAAACAGTGTGTAAATCCATAATTAACAAATAAACTTGTACATGTACACAAAATCAGTGCTATCAACTGTCTGGATAGTTCGTGTTAAACACAAAAGTAGCTCATATATCCCATGTACATGTTTAATATATATACATAACTTTATCGCCTCTATTTGTTGTCCGATATTTTACAAGTTTACATGTTGATAGCATTTCAAGTTTTTGGCGGGAATATCGTGGGCTTAGCGCAAAACGGTTGTAACTCACTTTTTTCCACAAAATTACATTTTTAACATTTTCAATGTATTTTGTGGTTATGCATACCCTCAGTAAGTATTTTAAATGGATTCTAAAAATTAACAAGTTAAATCAATATTTGTCAAAAGGTTGTATCTCAAATTGCTCTTAATTTTCAGCTAAGCCCGCGATATGAAACATCTTTACTGGTGATATACCCCGATATAAACGAGTGCAAGGGTGAGGGTTTCATGGTTTACCCAATGAAAAGTGACGCTGCATACAATATTATGTTTATTTACTGTAAATGTCTAATTCTTTATTACAAAGACATGACCTTATATTATATGCTTTTAAAAACATGAGTTATGGTTAAGTATACATGTACCAATATTAAACTGTGCATTTAAGAGATATAGAAACCCTAGGAAACATAACATAATTATTCTGTTTACAAATCGCTGTTGATTGGTTTAAGTAGGTTTAAATAAAGCACTTTTTAATTTTTGTTTAACCTGAAATGAAAATCAGCCTAACGTTGCAGTTGGGATGTTGCGCAGTAAAGTATGTTAAGGTTTTTAAAAACGTGTACAAACGTTTTTAATTCAACAGGTTTGTTTCGGATCGTCCTCAGGGTGGAAGACATCGAGGAACTTTAAGGACAGGTTCATTTCGGCATCAAAATTTAATATTGCCGAACGACAACAGGGACACTAGTTTCACTATAAAACATTCCATACATGTTTTTTTTTTCCAGAGTTGTGCATAAAACATACAAGAGGGCCATCTTGGCCCTGAAGTCGCTCACCTGAACACAGGCCCCCGGAGCGGGGAATGTTTAAACCCCGCGGCTTTTATTTGAACAAACTTGGTAGACAACCATTAGAAAATGTTTCATGCTAAACATCTAAGGTCTAGCTTGTTGGGATTTTTAAAAGAAGATTTTTTTAAGTTTTTAAGTCTTTACACATTAGTTAAAAACAATGACGAACCTGGGGCAGGGCCAGTTTTGAACCCAGGGCTTTTATTTGAACAAAATTTGTAGACACTTACTAGAAAATGTTATTCGAGTTTTCTCAAAGAAGATTTTTAAGTTTTTGCTATAGATCTACTCGTATAAAGAAAATCAATGTCCCCTGGGGCGGGACCAATTTTGACTCCAGGGCTTTTATTTGAACAAACTTTGAAGACACTCACCTAGAAGATGCTTCGTGCTTAATATCTAAACTCTAGCTATTTGATTTTTTTGATAGAAGATTTTTTAAGTTTTGCTATAGTTTTACACATATAGGGAAAATGAATGACCTCCGAGGTGGGGCCAATTTTGACCCAATGGCTTTTATTTGAACAAACTTTGTAGACACTCACTAGAAGATGTTTCATGCTTAATGTCTAAACTCTAGTTATTTGCTTTTTTCCAAAGAAATTTATAAGTTTTTGCTATACACATATAAGGAAATTTGGAAAATCAATGACCCCTGGGCCGGGTCAATTGTGACCCCAGGGCTCTTATTTGAACAGACTTGGTAGATATCCATTAGAACATGTTTCATGCTTAATATCTTAGATCTAGCTCTTTGGGTTCTTTAAAAGAAGATTTTAAGTTTTTTTTAACTATATGCATATGGGGAAAATCAATGATCCCCTGGGGCAGGGCAAATTTTGACCTCAGGCCTTTTATTTGAACAAACTTGGTAGACACCCATTAACATGTTTCATGCTAAATATCTTAGCTCTAGCTCTTTTGGTTCTTTAAAAGAAGATTTTTAAGTTTTTACTATATGCATATAGGGAAAATCAATAACCCCCTGGGGCGGGGCCAATTTTGACCCAAGGGCTTTTATTTGAACAAACTTGGTAGATACTCACCAGAAGATGTTTCATGCCAAAAATCTAAGCTCTATCTTTTTGGGTTTTTAGAAGAAGATATTTTAAGTTTTTTTCTTTTGGTTGCCATGGCGACCAGAGTTCTGCATTAAATGGAATTCGTTGAGGCTTCACACAAGGAACATCCCTGTGAAGTTTCATTATGATCTGCCTTATGGTTTCAGAGTAGATTTCGTTTTAAAAGTGTGAACGGACACCGGACGACGGACGACGTACGATGGACGACAGACAAAGAGTGATCCTAATAGCTCACCCTGAGAATATGATCAGGTGAGCTAAACAAGAGGGCCATGATGGCCCTGAGGTCGCTCACCTGTATATAGGCCCCCAGAGAGGGGCCAGTTTAAACCCCAGGGCTTTTATTTGAACAAACTTGGAAGACACTCAGTAGAAGATGTTTCACAATGTTAAGTTTTTACTACACACATGTAATGAAAAACAATGTTCTCATTCCGCCCCCCCCTCCCCCCCTGCAGGGTCAATTTTAACCCAAAGGCTTTTATTTGAACAAATTTGGTAGGCATCCATAAGAAGGTATTTCATGCTAAACATCTAAGCTCTAGCTCATTGGGTTCTTTTTAAAGAAGATTTTTAAGTTTTTACTACACACATATAGTTAAAAACAATGACACCCCCGAGGCGGCGCCAGTTTTGACCCCAGGGCTTTATTTGAACAAACTTTGTAGACACTTACTAGAAGATGTTTCATGCTTAATATCTAAACTCTAGCTATTTGGGTTTTTTCAAAGAAGATTTTTTATGTTTTTACTATATGCATATAGGCAAAATCAATGATACCCCGGGGCGGGGTCAATTTTTACCCCAGGGCTATTGTTTGAACAAACTTTGTAGACACTCACTAGTAGATTTTACATGCTTAATATCTTAGATCAAGCTCTTTGGGTTCTTTAAAGGAAGATTATTTAAGTTTTTGCTATACACATATTAGGAAAATCAATGAGCCCCCCCCACCCCCCCCGCCCCACCCCCCCCCCCCCCCCCCGCACGGCCAATTTTGACCCCAGGGTTTTATTTGAACAAACTTGGTAGACAACCATTAGAAGATGTTTCATGCTGAATATCTTAGCTCTAGCTCTTTGGGTTCTTTAAAAGAAGATTTTTTAAGATTTTACTATTTGCATACAGGGAAAATCAATGACCCCCTGGGGCGGGCCAATTTTGACCCCATAGATTTTATTTGAACAAACTTGGTAGACACTCAGTAGAAGATGTTTCAAGCCAAATATCTAAGTTCTAGCTCTTAGGGCTTTTTAAAAGAAGATATTTAAAGTTTTTTCTTACGGTTGCCATGGCAACCAGAGTTCTGCATGATATCAAATTCTCTCAACAATTTTTAAAGGTGACCATCAAAGGAACATTCCTGTGAAGTTTGGATGAAATTGGCTTAGTGGTTTATGAGGAGATGTCATTTAAAGTAAAAGTTTGCGGATGGCCGGACGCCGGACGAAACGCGATCACAAAAGCTCAACCTGTCACTTTGTGACAGGTGAGCTAAAAAAACAATGTATAGCAAACTTGAAGACTTATATCTATGTATGCAAATCATGTTCAAACTTTTATATCTAGAAGTTTTAAAATATTGCTCTGCATTTTAGGATGGCCTTGTTTTAAACATACAAATTGTACAACATTTAAGTGTTATTATTATAATATTATATGAAATAAGAATTAAAATTATTTCAGTATTTTCTTCTTATAATAAACAGAAATGACATGACAACCACAAACTTAGATGAGCTATATTAATCAAAAATGGAAGATGATGGCAAATTTTCAGTTCATCATTGATTTGATTCTCTATATTATAGAACTAATTTGTTATATGCTTAATTATGACTTAATTTTATTTATAGTTTTTTTTTCCAATTTGCACCAGTTATAAATGTTGAAATCTGGTACATTTTATTCCTTTGTTTTGCCTTTTTTATGATATCTTGTTGTTATAATTTAGAATACGCCACACTTACATATATATATTATCAGAGACAGTGATACGAACTTGTTGTTTAAGGAAAAGATAAGCATGTATCAATCATGTTACAAGCCAATTTACTTTTTTGGTGGTGAGTTTTTGCAGTTTACCCACTGGATCACAGCAGTAAGCCACTTTGAATTCACGACCCTGATTGACCAGAGCACAGTTCAGACACCTCAAATTATATTTCAACAACTTGTAACATCCTAGCTTTGGTTCATATTAATTGTTATCAACTAAAGTCAATAACAGTACTGCAGAGTTTCGTAACTGGGATTGAGAAACTAAGATTGTTTAGTAATGTTGGCTAGTCAAATAACAGGATGAACTTTTGAACTTCAAAACCAATATTGTATTAATCTTTATTCTTACAAACATTTACATCACAATTAAAATAGAATTTTGTAGACAAATATTTTATGTATATAATACAAAGGTATAAGAAGACCTGATTACAAGCATTTAGAGTTATCCCCCTTCGTTAAAGAAATTTTTAATATCATCACTATAGTGCTAAAATGTCAACATAAACAAATATCAGTCATCACAAATAGATAATGATTAGAATGGTCTACAAATATCTCATCAGTTCTCAATATTATCACTAGTAGTAACGGCTTGGCCTAGTGGTTAATGCCTCAGACTAACAATCTTAGGATTACTGTCTGCATGGGTTCAAACCTGTCAGGGCAGGCAAGCTGTTGTTTCCATGAGCAAGAAACTTCAAACTTATTGCTTAGTAATGGTTGATTCCAGGGACAGATTTGAGAGTGCTTCAATACACTTGTAGCTTTCAACACAATCAGACTAAAATAAATAAGTATAAACTAATATTATCGCTACTTTAATTCTTATTTTGTGCTTATCCTTCATGACTGGTTAATACATGTATGACTTAATGGCTATCACAATAGGTGGAATACATTATAATTTTGATGGTAAATATTGGAATCTTGGATAAACTTGCTTTTAGATCAAAATTGATTTAATGTGTTTGCTGACTGGAAAATGATGTTACTTCTTTTGAGGACCACCCATTGAAAATTCCTGAGAAATTTGGTCAAAATCTGCCATATGGTTTAGATGTTGTTTAAAGGAAGTGTAGATAAAGATGTAAGATGGATGACAGATTTAATGCTATTACAATATTTAGGATTCTGTGTATAAAGTACAAGAATATTGGAATTATTTTGAATCATCATGTAGTTCCTTCTCTTCAGTACTGCTAGGTGACTGGTTGCTAGGCGATTGGTTGCTAGCTGACTGGTTACTTTGGTCCGCGTTACTGGTGAGTGTGATACCAACGGCATCAAGTATACGTTGGTCTCTAGTATGCAGGAAGGCACAAGTACTACCTTGCCAGCAATATCCTTTACTCAGGAAATGTCGACAGGCATCTGTTAAAGCAACAAAAAAGACGATCAATTAGAAATGTTCCGAGTTCTTATCTAAAATATTATATATTGATTACTGTTTAATTATTTCAAATAACCTTGAAAATTAAGTTATTGATTAATCTAAAATCATTTATCACATACTCTTTCTATTGAGAGGAAAGCTTATATTTGACAATCAGTCCTAGTCATTCAACTTACAATGACATGCTAAATATCTAAGCTGTGGGCATCTTAGTTTCTTTAAAGTAGATTTTTCAAAAATTTTATTATTTTTATTCCTTCAATCTACTTAATGAATATGTATCAGCCTGGAATCATTTATATAACCTTTGTATACCCAAAGGATCGTTCCTATGAAGATTTTTTCAACCTCTATTTAATTATTGACATGTAGTTAAAAAAAGTATGGATTATGATGACCAGCAAACAACAGACCTTAAGACATCATTAAAACCTCACCTTTGAACATTTAGTGCTCAAGTGAGCTATAAAAATAAATAAAAAAACCCTTTTTTCTACAACTGAGTCAAGAAATATGAAATAATTCCAAAAAAACAACATGTCCTTGTCCATAATGTTAAGCAAATAAAAAAAAATAACTTTATACTTCTCTTCTTTCTTTCCATTACTGGAGGATGAAGTGGAGTTGTGATCTCTGCTGGTTTCATAACAGTCATGTTCACTGTAAAAAAAAACAGTCATGTTCACTGTAAAATAAACATTAATGTTCACTGTAAAATAAACATTAATGTTCACTGTAAAATAAACATTAATGTTCACTGTAAAATAAACATTTATGTTCACTGTAAAATAAACATTCATGTTCACTTTAAAATAAAATTTTATGTTCACTGTAAAATAAACATTTATGTTCACTGTAAAATAAACATTTATGTTCACTGTAAAACAATCATTCATGTTCACTGTACAATATCATAAATGATTCGTACTCAAATGGTAACCTACCATTTCTAAACAATAACCATCTTGAATTAATAATTATTTGGAGACTAATGATTAGGAAAAATATATCAATTTTTAGCATGTTGTTATTGAATAATGAACAGTGTGAGTTCAAATCAACAGGAATTAAATTACGAATTCTGGTAGGCCTAAGTGATAAATTGCAAAGCATTTAAATGATAAATTGTGCATCATTCTACTACACTAATTCTGTTAATTTTTAACTACATGTACCTTGTATATCTAGGTAAGAACTAAGAATGTCATCATAGTTTGACAACTAAATATAGTACATTTGTAGCTCACACTCCACAAAATTCACAGTCAAAGTAATACAGTGCTTGAAAATGAAAAACAAATTTTGGTGAAATACCAAATTTGTTGTCATAGTCAAAGGTTTTCTGAAAGATGAATTGCTGTCATGTCAGTCATTAATATTCTATTTGCAAATGTATTCAGTGGTCCAAATAAAATTAGAGATAAATGTCTTACTTGTATTAAATTGTTTAGAATGAGCCCCAGCGCCAGGTGTTGGGTATGGTGTAAACCTTGTGTTGAAATCTTGCTTCACTTGGTGTGGACTATCTACATAAAAAAATCAAGTAACAGTACAGAAAAATTGTTTATCCAACATAATTTCTCACAATATAATATGATACAACTTTTCACTAAAATATGAAAAAACAACAACAATATTTGAAAATGGCTACTGTGCCATCACTCTATTTATCTATTGAACCAACTTGGACATAAAGCATTAAGTTTGATGTCACTATTTTTATTTGTTATGAGAAGAGCTAGAACTTTCTGTGGCTTCCAAAAGCCTGATACAGTTTATTATAAATAAAGGCACTGTAAACACTGTTAACACTTGTCTGCGAGGGGCAATCACTACCATTGACCATTTTTTTTGTAAATATTCTGTTTTTGTAAAGTTAAAAAGTGCTTCAATTAAAATGCCCCTTGTTTTACAACTTTACCATGTCATAATAAGCAAGAAGTTGATACATTTTCTTTCATAGTTTTTGAAATCATACTTATTAAGCACTATCACAAAATTTTTAAGTAAATAAGGGGCTTGACTCCTAATAATATTAATTTCAGGATAATGTCCCTTCTCTTACAATCATAATACCTGGACTTTTATTTAACAGACGAGCTATAAATACACATACATTACATCATCAGAAGCCACTTGTCAGATCCTACAATTTAAAAAAATAGAATTCTTACTTATCATAGAATTTAAACTGTTGAGCTGACTTTGGAAATTTGATAGTGATGCTGTCTGTAATAAGGGTTGAATCTTAGCCTCATTCTGGCACTGACTTTGACTTCCTGTAAATGAACTTGATCCCGGCAGATTTGACATCGCCATGTGTTGACTGGTTCCTAAATTAGTACAAGATAAAACTTTTTAACTCAATAACTGTTTGAAAGTTAGAGGTAATATGCAAGGGGAACATTGTGAGCTAATGCCATAAGAACAAGAACATTCTGTTAAAAAACAGAAACTCATATCAACAATTATCAATTAACAAATCACTCTAAATCGCTCTAAAAATTTTAATGTATGTAACACTGCTTGCTAGATAAAATTTCATGCTAGAAACTGTTAAAATGTACACCAATATGGTTGTACATTTGAAACAACAAGTGCAAAAATACCACAAATAAAGCAGTAAGTGTAATATGTTACCTCCACAATTGGAACAGAACTTTTGAAATGTATCTTTCAAGTTAACACCACAATTTGTTTGTAGAGATTGTAGGAAGTTGTCAGCGTTTGATGTTCCTAGATGAGAACATGTTCCCTCACTAGTGTTTGTCAGTATCAATAAACTATCATCACCAAGTGCATATAATCTCTCAAGCTAAATGTCATTTGAAGAAAAAAAGTTATCAAAATATACACACACAAAAAGAAGAAACATTAAGTTTCAAGTTCTAAAACAAGAAAACTATTAAGTGTATATAAACAATAAAATATATCAGATAATTGAATTTTTTTACATTTTTAATATTATGTAGCATAGAAGCAAAGCAATAAATAAATCTGTCGTTAAATTAATCTTTAAAAGAAAAACTTTTATAATTGTAATACTACTCAGATATGTAAAAAAAAACTCTCAAGCTAAAATTCTGTTACTATTTATTAGTACATGCAAACACCAGATTTTTGCAACAAAGAATCACAAGGCAGAAATAAAGAAATTCAAAATCTCCTTTCAAGAATCAGGTATTTGCCTGGCTTAATAAATTCTAGAAGATTATAATTTTTGTTATACATACATGTATACAACAAACTTGAACATTACTCTTCAAATGAAGCTGACGATTTGTACATATACATATTGAATAATGTGTACATACCAGAGACTGTATTTCATATTTGAGTAATAATCTGAGGGAGATTTTAACATCTCTGTTCTCCTCTGCCAGAGACGTCATTGTGTTTGCTATCTTCTCAGTCATCTTCCTCTATATTTACCTGTAAACAAATCTATATGTCTTAGTATATACCTGTAAACAAATCTACCTGTAAACACATCTACATGTCTACATATACCTGTAAACACATCTACATGTCTACATATTCATGTAAACACATCCACATGTCTACATATATACCTGTAGACACATCTATATATACCTGTAAACACATCTTCAAATCTACATTTACTGATAATAAGATAACATCATCGATCTATATAAATTGCAACAAAGAATGTTCTTAATTTGGAAATTATAAAGTTTTAATAGACTGATATTTTTAGCTAATAAACTAAAATGTATACTTACTGACAATTTAAAAAAAACAAACATTATCTTGAACACTGTTGAATGCCACATGTTACTACAATGTCGAGTGACTTTTAGAGCACATTTAGCTTTTCTTTTTCTTCCATACAAAAGGGCACTTAAAATGTTATTGACATGATAAGAAGCATATATTCGTCGTTCCAGCTTGGACATAACCAGCTGCTGTTGATAACTAGACGTACATGTACTAGATCAATAGATTATCAGATTATAAAAGACACACGTACACATATTCAAGTAATGTCAAGTTTTGAGAAAAAATATTGCTAAAATTCTTAACCCAAAGAATAATGTGTCATGTTCCCAACATACTGGAACGTCCTGTATTATTTTATAACATACATATAAGGCGAAATAACAAGAAATTACCTTTAGTTTACCGATAAAATAATGCTCACACTTCAATACAAATGGCGTGATTAAATTAAAGGGACGCAACTTCGACTAAAGAAATCATGGAAAATAATACCATATTTAAAGGCATGTGTTGTTAAAATCAATTGGCTTTGCGACATGTTTAGTTGTTTGGACATTGTGTAATCATGTTAAATCACAATGTTGAATCGTCAGTTGTTTTTAAATGTCTATAATCCGGGGATACAGAGCAATTGTGTCATGACATTAATCAATTTTGGTGAATTGTCAAAATGACTACCAGAACCACGGATTTATGTAATATAAATCCGTGCCAGAACATATATCTTTGTGAAATTTCAGTAGAAAAATGCGACCAATAAGCATCTAAACATACATTAAGCCATTAATGAAGAGGTAAGCCCAGAAAAAGGACTTTTAGTGCCAAGGTTTCAAGCCGTCGCTGTGTTCTAGGGGATTATACGCTCTTGTACCTTTCAACGTCGTCCCTGCCTACACTGTTCGGAAATTTCCATCGGCTTCAGTGTAAATGACACGTTGAATGCTAGTTTTTTTTAAAACTCCTCAACGCAGTGATCCTTAATCTGTCAGCGTGTCCATGGTGAAACGAAATCCTGCAAAGCTCCAAATCTTTGACGATGTAATTCCACATTTTATATTGAATTTCTCCCCGCTCCAACGTCTATTACATACTGTAGCAGAATATTCAAAGGGATTTTTCATATAACGTGTTAAGTGATTACAAACAATATTTCCAGCGAGGCGAATCTTGATTTAGGTTATGACCTCTTGTTGAAAAAACTTTGAAATTGATAGGCTTAATACTCAATGTTGGAAAATGATCAGGGTCGGTTTAAAGTATTGCAAAAATGATATATGGGTCAAATTAAGTTGAACAAAAAAATTTATTTTGACGTAAATCGAAAAAAGTGTTTTATTGAAAGGAAAATATACGATATTGATTCATTTTAACCTATAATTTAAATTTCGAACTGACGTTTGGTGCTACGTACCCTTCAAACTGCATGTACGTTCCACAGTATTGGTAGTGCATTTTAATTTTAAACGGGGAGCATGCCATCGGATCGCCCCATCCATTGTGCCGCATCCTCAAAATGAGTCCGGGCACTCCACTGATAGTTATATATAAAAATATAAGGTTCACTGATATTTTATTACGAGATCATAGGATTTCTATAACCATTACATCATCACATGCTTTTAATGATTGTAACTTTTTTGATAGGTCTAATATAAAGTTTGTTAAAAAAGGAACAACATGTAATCATTTTTAATGTCGCGCATGAATTAGTCATTAAAATACTTTTATATGAGACTTTTAAAGTTTTTTATTTTCCTTGTTTGACTTTTATCATATAAAATTCTTGTTTATAAAAAGTATGTGTGTCATATTGACAAGTTACATGATACTGATATAATAAGAAACATCATGTTTACGTTACCAAATAAGATATTTTAATTTTGAATCTTATTGAGTAAAGGAATTAATTATCACTAGGGTTTAGAATCTTGAGATGGTCCTTAGGGAAGTTGTTAATGATGTACCGGCTGCGTGTACAAACATCGGATATGGAGTGGCTGTTTCCTCTCCCTTTGGCAATAGAAGGGACCTGCCCCGGAAAATGATTGTTTAAAATTATGCATATTAAAGCGTTTTGTTGCACCCAGATACCCTGATAGTTTAAAATATCCACCATTAGACATCAAAGTCATCTAGTGTCGTCCCTGTCTCGTACTGTGTTAAGATTCAAAGCATAGTCTCAACTACAATATTTTTAATTCTGTTAAACCTGTAATTTCATCAGTGCTGATTAACAAACACAAGCCTATGATTGGTTGCGTGTCAACATACTATAATATAAATGGCACATTATTTTCTATTTCTTTTATTAAAAAGAAACATGTATTTGATATATGACTGTCAGAAAAACATTTAAAACTATTTAAAGACTAATAAAGACAGCAATCAATGTACATAAGGCATGGGTAGTGGAGATGTGATTTCTATATTTATGATATATAATTCCAAGACGTGTCAACTACAATAAAACATGTCATTAACTGATATTACATATAACACACTGAATCATACAGGAATTACATATAACACATTCAGCATACAAATGAATTACATATGAAACACTGAATAGGTAACAAACATGAATTTCACAAAGCAGATTGTTTTATACGTAAACTTGAATTAAATAAGAATTGTCTTATAAACTAATATTTGAATTACATAGCAAACTGTCTTATATGTAAACACGGCTATCTTAATGCAGATTGTCTTATATGTAAACATGAATTACACACATCAGATTGTCTTATATGTAAGCATAAATTACACACATCAGATTGTAAACATGGATTGAATAAAGATTGTCCAATAAACCAATACTTGGATTAAATACATATAACACACTATCATAAACAGGCATTACATGCAACACACTTTACAATAAACTTTTACACATAGTACAGAAATAAATGTATACATTTATACACATTTGCTACAAACATTTCAATATAAATATAATAATATACTTCAGATCTTTAAATAGAAATGTAAGATAATGAACTTTCTCCTGTCTATCTGATATATCAGCATTCACCGTCATCATCATTATTTTCTCCTTTGTTACTATCAGAACTATACGATTTACATGTAATTAAAACTGATATGATCGTCTTCTTCAATTTGAAAAATACATTAACTCAAACAAAAATTTAGACTAACTTTAAGGTAATACTTATATAACATAATAATCTACTTAAAAGTCCTATTGTTCGAATAAGAAAATAGACAAAAAGGAAACCTTGAATAACGCCCTACATGGCAAAATTGAAAATGTTGCAGATTCAGATTAATTGAGTAGAATTGAATGAAAGCTACTGTCCCGTTTGAAGTAGAAAATAAAAATACTATAATAATTAATTTGAAACAATCTGTACAAGGAAGGCAGGAGTTGTTAGCTTGTTAACTATCACAAATTGTCTATAAAATAAATGGTATCACAGCTTTTCTGTCTTTCGGATAATCCTCAAACTTTTGAAGGTAATACCTGTAAAAACAAATGTTATTTATTAATTCTTTATCTTCATAAATGCATAGGTACGGAACTGATTTCCTTTACTAGCTTCAATTATAAATCCCTAACAACGCCCAAAACGACAACAGGCTCTGTATAACTGAGTTATATGAAACCATATCAAGGTACATTTCCGCCAATCATTACAAAAAGAACCTCTGAAATCTTTGAAAACGGACACACACCGAGCTTAAATTGTGCTAAAGTTCCCTACAAACTTGTCCGGAAGTGAAATTATCGTTATTATGATAATTAAAACAATATTTGAATATAGCGTCAAATACACACTTAAGTGCAGTTTCTTATGTGTGAAGAAACTACTAGTATTTCAACAGGACAGAACTAGTCCATGTTGTTTTTATCGAAGTTTCGAACATAAACTTTAATATAAATAAAGAAAATACAATAACTTTTACGTTCTCGTGTACAAGCACTTACTGATGATGTTGCCAGGCACGTGGACCAATGTTACAGCACGTAAAGAACGAGAAAGCTAGAGCTGGAATACACCATGTAGCAATAGCAAACCCCGCCCACTCTAATATCTCACCGAAAAAGTTCGCACCAGAGACAAAGTTAAACATTCCACCTGCAATAAAGGATAATACATTACATTTGCTTTTTTGTTTTGTTTGTTTTGCCAGTGTTTAACAATTTAACTATTGAAAACTTTGACAAATTAACTAGCTAGTGTTTCTAGATTAGAGCGCCAATGTGTTTGTCCACAAATGACTGCTAAATTATGCCGGCGGAGAAGTAATAAATTAGACATAATAACAAGAATTGTAGCAAACGTAATCGTCACAAAGAAAAAAAGAACCAATGACCGTGCTACTGAACTACTAGTTATAATTGTTTATAACATAGGAACTCGGGAACGGGACCGCAGATTGCGTCTCATATTTTCGACGTGCAACGTTTTTAGAAATGTCTCTCCTACATCTAAATATCTTTTCGTATTATCCAAGTGTATGGCCTCAAAGAAAATATTATCAATTAAACACAATTTGTAACTTTTAAAATTGGTCAAATTTTACGGTAGTATTTACTGGTGACGAAAAAGATAACCTATAAAATTATTGCATGAATAAATTGCAGAATAGTTCAGTCAATGTGCACTGCAAGGTTTTTATGACCCGCATACAAGATAAATTGTGGCCTGTAAATATTGTTCTATTTTACCAACAAGGGGGTGCATTACTTTCACAGTGTTCTTAAATGATTGATATATCGAAATTGAAGCAGCGTTTTTTGGAAATTAAGAATGTAAACTGAATTGCATGCTTAGAATAAGGTCACTTTGCAGTCATGAATGCAGTTTTAAATTCATACGGTACTATTAAAAATGACTCTTTTTTTTTAATAAAAGTACCAAATTAAAATAGGTTTCGTAATTTCTTTCCGAATATGTTTAATATATAATATGCAAGAAAAAAGGCAGACAGGAATATCTAGCTCTCGGGCGAAAAAGCCTCGTTACTGCCGTAAACAGATATCCTTGCGCTAGATATTCCCGTCTATACCGTCAGTTGATAGTACACAATCATCTGAAGATTACTAAAACTTGAATCACCTTTAGGTATTTTGTAACCAGTTTCTCCAGGTTTTCTGAGATTCCTTAGAATATGATCGGAGTGAATATTGACGGCCATACCAAATACAAACATGAAACATCCTGAAAAATTCAATATCATTTTAAATGATTACCTGATACCATTAAATAACTAACAGAAACAACTGGATGAAAATAGTTCGAGGTTATATAATAGCCAGACTTTATCACAATGTACCAAATAGGGAACATATAGGTGTAAGTCGAGATTAATATTAATAGTCTTAGGGGTGACAATCCGCACAAGTCAAGAGGAGCTGTTTTGACTATTAACGTTCTTTTCTTGTTCTATTGTAGTTAAAATCATAGGTTACTTACTTCGTATACATGAACAGTGCTAATATTCTTGTAAAATTAACACTTCTTTTATGTGGATTGAAATCTACAATATTTTAAACAACTGGAAATATTTAAAACATGTACATAAACAGTAATAATTACCTATATAGATATGTGGTTTCGTCCACCAGTCAGGACCATATTCTGCGTGATGAAGCAAGTAGGCACTCTGGAGGTAGCCGTTTACTAAACAAAATATCAGTGCCATCAGGAACGGTATAAAAGGTGTTGGTTTCCCGCCTTTTATTAGGAATGGAAATATACATGCTCTGAAAAAGTTATGTATAGATTCGTTTTATTGAAACAAGCCTTTCCAAAAACACTAAAGTACTTAAATAAAATAGTTATAAAATAAGAAATGAAATTATATTTACAAAAATTGTTCAGCTCTTAATAAATACATGCTGTAGACCAAAATCATTTTTAAATTTTGAGTGAAATAGGTCTAAATTTGAACTATGAAAAGAAAATACATCTTCTTTAATACTCCTATATGATGATGTAGGTCTAAATTTATTTTAGATCTTAGATCTATGGAAATTTATATAGAGTTTAGGCACTAACGCTAAAAAATCAAAAACAAAAAATGTAGGATCATAGGGGCCCGGGCATACATATGCATTTAAATATACATGTACGTCAGTGTTTAGAGTAAATTAATGAGTTTGAATTTTGATGACTACGGCGTCCCGTTAGAGCCATCGCGACACGCACATAACTCGAAACAACGATGATTCACCATCGTGGTTACGTTATTTCGATATTTCACCATCGTATTTTTAGTTGTGTGTGTCCCGATGGTGCTAACGAGACACCGACTAGCAATTATTTACGGTAAAATATTTTGCGATGACCTGTACTGTACTGTATTTATTTATAACCCCGGCCGTGTTATGCAATCAATGTTTACATCATGCTAAAAATAGACATTTAAAAGAACTTACCTTTGAAAGTAATGACTCGAATAAAGCATGAAAAACAACATATTTGGCATCACATTATATTTCAGTGCATTCTGGTCATATAGAACAAACACCACAGGTATAGCAAACGAAGGAATCTCCTGTACAAACCACGCAAATTTTCCATTTACAAATATACCCCACCCACCACGTGCATAGCGACCGTACGGCGCTGTTATCCCATAAAATAAAATAAAAAACACAAGTATTGCTGTTACAAAGTAAACACTTGAGAAAACGTATAATAAAGTTAAATCCATGCGACGTATTGAATCAACTGCCTCATTGTAAAAAGTTAAGACTGTCTCCATGTTTGACAAAAGTTCATGCAGTATGTATGCTACAGTTGTAGAGCAAAACTATCTACTGTATTTAAGAGAGTTTATATATAACATTGTGCTAGTGAGAAATTGAGGAGCTTCACGGGGTACTTACTGAATAACTTCCGTATCATATTTGAAAAAAAAATTAATCTCGTCCTGCCTAAAACACTCGCGAGAGGGGTTGGTTCTTTTCAGAGAAATATATATAGTATCAGAAGAGTCTTAACCAAGATAATCAGCTACTAGCAATACATTATTTATGGACAAACCATCCTATATAGATACAATATAAGGAAGCAGTATCGGGTACCGAGGATCAAATTATCAAGATTTTATTCCATAGCTGTATGGAACTAAAATATATAATATTAGTGTACAGTAAAAAATATGTTAAAGATTACGATCTGCAGAGAAAGAAAGATATTTTGGGATACAATTGAAGAATAATAAATTTAAATAAATACAAAAAAGCCGGGTAAAATAAAGGATCTATTTTAGGGTCAATATCAATAATTTAATTAACTGTTAAATGCACACATCTTGTTAATCAATACGTTTCCTCCATCATAAACATTTTATTGGAGGCCGATTTATTAAATAAACATTACTTTTAAACCCATTAAAATAAGCAATGAAAATCTCATTATTTTTGTATTTTGGTTCTGATATTAGAATGGATATTCATTCGGGAAGTTGGGGGAACTCCAATTATCTTGCTATATACACTGTATATTCATCGAATTAAATAGCACCGACATATAACAATTCCATGAATTGTTTTTACAGCCATTTTTTTTATCTGCAAGCAAGTTCTTGTCGCAAATCCTTTCAATGCTAGTACAATATAGTCATTTATCAGATAAATATACTTATAAATGAGATATTGAGAAATATTGGTGAAATAAAATGCGTATTTTCATTTTCCTTATTTTCACTGTAAAAAATATTGTTCACTGCAGTAAAAAAAAGTATTTAAAATGGTGTCTTGCCGGACTACTTAATTCAGCCAATACAAGATTTAAAAGAGGGGTGTCTTTGGAAATTCAATTTCAAAAAGAGGAAAAGTGTAATAAACAGTTTTCTAAATGCTCTCATTTAATGTCATATAGACATAAAAGATACAATGATTAAATGAAAATCAATTAATATGATTATAATCTTGGCCTCTAAATGGCGCGATATTTTAATCAGCATCATATTATATGAATGTAGATCAATTTATCAATGTCAATTAGACCTATATATGTATCGTATGATACATTTTATCATGTAACATTGACACAGAATTTGACTGAACGAAAATTGTGGTTCAAAATGACACAAATTCAATTATACACTCATATGTGAAGTGATCGTTTTCTTTTACATCCCTAATCTATTTTTATATAAAGTTAAATGTTATTTAAAAGATGCTTACAGCGAAACAAAACATAGGAATAATTGTTACTTACGTCATTGATGTATATTATAAACATACATGTATACGTTGCTGTTTTACATTAATAAACAAAAATACGGCAAACAAAATATTACAAAATAAATACATAAAATAAATAAATAAATAAATAAATAGAATTGAATTAAAGTGACGTTCAACATCATTTTCCACGTTATTGTCATTTTATCATAAAAAAATAATTAAATAATTTTTATTTACTGCTTTACTTCAGTAAACGAGTTGCTTATAAACATACGGCTTTTTTTTCTTTTTGAAAGACTGCGTATGTCAATTAAAATGATTTATTTTAAAATGAAACAAAAATGGTCTAGTGTTATATGTAAGCGGTTAAATAAATGTACACAGTCGGGCCTTAGATATAGGAAATACTTCAATGAAATAATTGTGTCCTTAAATGGAATCTTGTGAACAAATATAGACATCTGTCATTAAAGATACAATACACTTAAATATATTGACAATGATTTGACCATAAAAGAGTAAACATCAGTTTAAACACGGAGCGCTCCTGGGCGATTAAAATGACTTTGTTGCTATGAGTTAAACATTCAACATGAAAACTCCGCTGACGTGTATCGTAGATTTAACATTAATGTTACAAACTTATCTTTAACGGTTCGCTTAATATTAATGATAACATCGCAACATCACAAGAATTATTATGAAAAAATTGTAGATTCCCTTATACATTTATTTACACTCCCAAATTCTAATAAGAGTTGCTATTTTCTTTAAAAAAACAAAACAAAAAAAAAAACAACAAATCATGTTTTATTTTTAATTCAACTGCATTTATTATTATTACTTTATCCTGTGCGAAGCAGGAGGGGATTCTAGGAATGCCCTTCGTCCGTAACATTTTCGTGTCCGCTCAATATCTCCCACATCATTTGAAGAATATTCTCGAAACTTGGTCCAAATGTTAAGCTCTCTGAGACGATATACAAAAAGCACGAGTCAGTAATTTTTGGCTCAATGTCACCCTTGAAGGTCAAATGTTTGAGCCTGCGTTTCGTGTCCGCTTCATATCTCCCACTCACTTTGAAGAATTTTCATGAATTATGTTCCGTTTGTCATACCATGCTTATTAGATAACAACCCTTTCTGCTACAGACATCAAAACTTTACTGAGCAACTGACTCCTATTTAGTACTTGTACCTGACATACGTTAAGCTCACAAGTTCACTGATAGGGATTGGTACCATCAATCAGTTTGACACATTGTTTTCATTTGAATGTATGCTAGTTCTTTGAAATCTAAACTTTCACATACCGGATTAGAATTCAAAGTAAAATTATGCTTTAAAATCTAAATTTCTAAAATAAGAAATCGTTCAACTGTGCAAAATAATGGTAAGTATCGCGGTGGGGGATATAGCTGTCTTTTAGACTGCATTGTTATAACTACATGTAGTTTGTATATTGATAATAAATGTATTTCAATCTCCAGTACAAGTATTTTGTCGATTTTCTGAACGGAATTGTTGTCCGCAGCAAAACAGAACAGAAAAAAATACTTTGTGAATGACATTTAATTGCAACATACGTTTGTAATGTGAATATCATGTAAACAAAATCAAATGTTAAGTAATTTTCTGCAAAGATTTTGGAAAGGGGAAATCCTTCCAAACATAAATGGTTGATGAAAATGACTCGGTTTTTATCAAGCCTATTCAGGAGTGCAAAAGGCTTCAGCGGTATTCAGTCCTCTACACTTGAAGAATTGGAAGCTGTGATAGTTATTTCAGTTATTAATGATTCTAATAGATAATCGTCAGACTTGTTTAAAATATTACTCCATATAGTATAGATGTATATGCTAATACATGTACATTAAATACCGATAAAGTTCTCAAAACACCATGCAAAGTTACAGTCCTTTCTAAACATGCATTAGTTTTGTACCCGCAATGATTCAAAAATAAACGTGCTTCACGCTGATTTTGCGATACGGGCTGATTTTTCAAAGACTAAGTTGTACAAAATATAAGTCAGATATTATCCATCATATCAAAGTTTGGTAGAAAAGATAGCTTTGTTACTAAAGATTAATCGGGAAGATGTTACCAGATTACATTTTAATTAATAGAAGAAAAGTCAACAAGTGTTCAATTAAAGACAAACTAGCAAAATGCTACTTGTATGTAGAATAGAGTACCGCTGTTTTCATGCATATTTATAAGACTGATGTTTTAAATATACAAATGTATATACAACATGTACACTGTAGTTTTGCATTTGCTGGAAATTTCATTTGGCATGGGGGTGCCAGGTGAGTCGCAAGCTTCAAAATGATGTTATTTTTTCAACAGAAACTGCGTCCTTAGAATGCCGTCATTTCGCCGTTATGATTGAAGCATGTATGCAAATACTAGAAAATAGTTAGGGACGGGATGAAATAAATTTCCATGAAAATTACATTTATTTTGGTAAATCATTTTAGATATGTTAAAATATACAAGAAAATATAACTCTTTACACATCTCTTTACTGCCCAACGAGCAAGTAAACCCAAGGACCCCGATCTATTTGTAAACTTCATATGTTTTAACGGTCATATGCTTTTTAAATCTTGTATATATATGCCGTTGGATATTAACTTCACAGGAGCAGGTTGGCCAGGAGCATAACTTAGCAACTATTCATATTACAAGGGAAAAATACAAATCTTGTTTAAATTTTGTAATTATTGATTTAATGTAATAAGCAATGATACATTTAAACCACAACCAAGTCATTTTATTTTATGAAATAGCATCAAAGATCATGCTTTTACTTACCCATAAGTTACATGTATGTTGAGAGTTAATACATTAAACATTTTTTTTTGAAATGAATATTGCAATATTTTCAGCTATCTATTTGAATAGTGATACATGTAATTTATTACAACCCATTCATATCAAAATACCATATTTATTGTTTTTGCAACTATATCGAATTTATAAACTTAACAAAAGACATTTCAATAATTCTAGTAACGATAATTAGACACATATTTGGTCAGCACATTTAACTAATCATCAAAGGTTTTTTTTTAATCAAACCACTCTCCAACTTCTAGTAACACATCATTAAACCAGTCATCTATGTCATGTTTGTCTCTACCAGTTTGTTTCTCTAAACCTTTATCATGATCATCATCATCTTTACTAATATCTTCATTGTTGTCAATGTCATCTCCAGTCTTACTATTCTGTGTGATATCTGAATCATGACTTAACTTTTCTGCTGTGTTAACATTTTGCTTGTCTTTCACTACAGTACCATATTTTGACTCTTCTGTTTGATCAGTGATTGTTGGAAACTCTTCCATACATTTCATCTCATCAATGAATTCAGTAACTACCTCAAGAGTTGCACCAAACTCCTCAGATTTCAATATTTCTAAATCTGATTCTTGCAAATCAGTTTTTAAAAAGTTGGTAGTGACTTTATCCGTCTTAGATCTCAGCAATTTTGGTATTTTACTTGTTCTTTGACTGGAATCTGAATGTTTCTCATTGTGAGAAGTTTCAAACTTGGCTGACCTTTGGTTTTGATATGAATTATGACTGGTGTATTGTTTATGATTGAAATTGTTTACATAATTTCTACCTTTATTCAAATAGATATGTTCAGTGGCATGTGCTATATCCGGACAATGTTGGATTTTATCATGTACTTGTTGAGATAGGCAAGGATCTTCAGTATTGATGTTAGGACTAGCAGGAACTATCTGGTCATCACAAGCAAGTTGCTGGAACGGAGAAACATCTTTCATACCCTGAATAACATGTACAAGATCAGGTGTCATAACCTTGACTTTAGACTGTCTATCAGGGACTGTTTGTGAATCACGTGGACAAGGATCTTCAATGCTTATTTCAGCATGTATGGAATTTACCTGATCATCTTCATTAATATGTTGGAAAGGTGAGACATCTTTCATCCTTTGTGTAATCTGCATCAAGTCAGGTGTTATATCCATACATGCATTATGGTTCTCCATGACTAGCTGCTGGAATGGTGACACTTTCTCCATATCTTCTATAATTGTCCGTATATCAGGAGTTTTGTTTTGATTCACACATTTACTTTCAAATCTACTCACACAATTTTCTTCAGTTTGTTTATCTATATCAGACAATGTACCATCATTATTTCTGTGTAAAGTGGCATTGTATAAACTAGGACAGGTGTTTATAGTCTGGTCAGTGATTATAATGGAGTTTCTGTTTATATCACTAATCTTGTTACTATCTTGTTGTTCCTCCACTGTCCTGTTACCATGAACATCTGTCCTGTCACCATTACCAGCATACCCTATACAATCTGTCTGATCTATTACAATGTTTCTATCACTTGTCACAGCATCAGATATTGTTCCGGCATCAAACCAACTGTCTTGGCTACCCTTTGATTCACTTTGTAACTTTTGATCCATCTGCACATGTAATTTAATGTATATTTCTGTATATGAGCTTAAAGTTCAATATGTCTAGACAGGCTTAGAGCAATAGAGAGACTTTAATTAAAAAAATATAGTTAAATGATAAATTAAACAACAATTTGCATTGCAAATAGATTCTTCCTAATGTTAAAGTAATAATATACATGTATATTCTGATGTAATTGAAATGTTTGATTAACTTTGCATGTGCTCCTTTAATAATGTCTACTTCTTCAATAAAAACATCAATTACTTTATACAAAACAAGCAATATAAAATAATATTATAATAATCAATCTAACATTTATAGTTACAACTTGAGCATGTGATAACTGAAAGAGTGAAGCAGTCACCTTAGAATTTGAGGAATATTTTCTCTGAGAACCAGTCCACACTGCAGCATGTTTTCTTTGACTGATTTCTGTAAGTTTACATTTCATCTCAACTCCAAGTTCCACTGTGTCTTTAACCTACGTATTCATAATGTGCAGAAAAAATATATATTAATTTAATTCAAAAGTCTAAAATAGTCAGTCTATTAAAAAAACCAAAAAAATAAAATTAAAATCTGCTCTTAGTTAGGTTTAACATATTAATATGATTTTGAAATAAGCTCCAATTGCAACTAATATTAATCATTTTCAAGTACATGTACTGTACATATTTTGAGTACTGGTGTTCATGAGGAAACATGGTCGTGACCTGATAAGTGCTTGACCCCTAGGTTGAGAGCTAGACATACCCCATTTACCACAGGCTATTTTGTTGGTAAGTAGTTCTTAAAACAAAAAATATTGCACTATATATGTTCAAATAGGAAATAAAAATGTTGACTTATGACAGGATTTGTAGTTTTTTTATTAGGAAGTGAAGTTAGATATGCCAATAATTGTAAAGCCTCTTTATTGAGATTGTCTAAGCAGATGTAAAGAAATTGTGAATGAATACTGAATTTTAAATACACAAATTTAAATATTGTTGTTTCATATTATTAAAGTTCATTAAGAAGAATTATTTATACTTTGTTCTTTCATACTTACATTTTACATTCATACAAGCTTTATTTCTTAATTTTAATATGTATTAAACTGATGCTGAATTAGATTAAAAAAAAAAAAAACATACCCTTAAATATTAAGTTAACCATAAAAATATTTATTACCCTTCCAGATTTTGTCCGCCTTTTTGATTGGATATTGATCACCCGAAAGAAATTGATATAACCGAGCCAGACGGGTAATATACACTCTAAATTCCCCCGTTGGGTACCCAACATTGAAAACAACATGCGCTGAGGTGATGCGCGTACGGTTCGATTTTACGCGGTGTAAATTCCGATTTAAAAGCACTTTTTAACTGTCAAATGATAAATATTTACAAAAGTAGAGTAATGATACATATTACCATCAGTATCGAAAACAAATATGACCTTGTGAAAGCTTGATATTAATTACAAAAAAAGTGCGTTTAATAGACTACTCCTTTTCTCTTGTTTACAATTGTTAGGTACGGGAAAAATACGTCATGTATTTATGTGACGTTATGTTGTGACGAAGAGGTACCCTAAAGGGAATCTTATTTCGACGTTTCATTTGAAACAGCAATGATTTTTTTAAAAATCGTCTAAACTCGGCAGGGGAAGGGTAATAAAATTATTATTTTGGTTTTGGAGTGATATATGTGGATATATTACCTGCCAAGATAAAATATCACCCTCGCCTAACGGCTCGGGTGATATAAAATCTTAACAGGTAATATATCCACATATATCACTCCAAAACCAAAATAACATATAATCTTACAATTTATTTAATAAAACTTTGATATCATCAATTTAAATAGGGGAATGCTTAATGTTTAGAGTAGGTAACAATTCTTACCTTCATATATTGTAGAGTGGCTGTTCTAAACTGTTCATTACTACTCATAGAAACAATGTCTGTGACTGCCTTACATATACCACTTATACTCCTCATTACTATATCTCTATTCTAGAATAATATTTAAAAATATTTATTACATGCTATTCAGTGGTTTATAGAAATATATCAGTGATATAAAACTGGTAATTTCACTGTTTGAAACAGTGAAATTACCACTTTGATAATTTCACAGTTTTTAATTTAAGCCCCTTACATTGTTTCAGTGAAATACCAGCGTTCACAGTACTGGGTACCAACTTAATGACGTGAGGTCGTAAATGACATTATTTTCATTCAGTATTAGGTTTAATGTCTTTTTAAAACGTTTCTTTGCATGTAATAAAAAGAAAATTTGTTTAGTTTAGTGTGAGATTGAAATATATTTCACCTTGTGAACACCAAAAGTTCATATTTCACTCGTGGCTGCGCCACTCGTGAAATTTACCTTTTGGTGCTCACTCGGTGAAATATATTCCGATCTTACACTGAACTAAACAAATATCCTCTATATATACAAATATGTCATATAAAAATATAATGTATCTGGAAAACACCATAATTATTAAAACTCTATTAAAAGTTTTCTCGATATATTTTCAAATATGTTTTCAATGTCCATTAATTTACTTTATTCAAAATATTGACTTAGGATACATATTATGCTGTATTGTATTAAACTGCATGCCTACAGATAAGCCAACATACATGTATTTCAAGAAAATCAAACTTGAGAAAATTGTACTAAGATTTAAAGAAATGTAAAAAGATTCAAGTAATAATTTACATGACTTATGTGCGATTAATGACTGATTTTGTAGTATTTATTGTAGGGATGGCAACGAGTAACCGGTTAACCGAGTACTCGATCGAACGTCCGAATATCGGTTAACAAAATTGATATTCGATTACTCGAAAAAAAAATTTAATTTCTACTTTTTTTCGATTTAGAAAGATTAGTTCAGAAATTCGGAAATGTACAGGTATCTGTATAAATACTTGTTAAATGCAATCAAAACATCCTTGCAGAGGTGTGAAAATGATATCGTAAATTTAACGAGGCGATCCACAGTTTGACCCGCAGTTTGACACGTGTATGGGATTATTACACAGCCCTGTGTCGTTTACATCATTCGGCCTCTTATGATATTTAATCACCTTTAAAATTATTAGACAGTTTGTAGCCGAAACTTGTTTATTATAAAAACGTAAATAATACGGAATATTATTTTGTAGCTTTGTATTGTGCTACCTACGTGCAGTGGTGGAAAAAAATGATATCTGCAAAATTGACATTTCTTATGTTTATATTTATTATATCTATTTCTTGCAGTCCTATTTATAGTTAAGAATTCTATGAATTAAAATAGAAAACGAAAGTGGCATGCAGACGGTGTTGATATTGTGTGATAAAACTTTAATTTAAAGATCATTGGAAATCATCCGAGTAACCGAGTACTCGATCGGAAAAATGACCGAGTACACGAGTATTGATTTTGGTATTCGTTGCCATCCCTAATTTATTGCCATATATATACTGCGTGTCTAACACAGTAAGGACTTTTTTTGCATATTTTTACCTCTTTTTGGTAATATACGTTGATTGTAAGCCTGATTTGCAATTGGCAATTTGCAAATTGATATCTTTCTTCCCTTCACAATATTTTTCTGTTACATACATTTTCAAAATTTTCATGAAAATTAGCAAGAATCTGGAGGCATGCTGCTTTAACAGATTTGAATAAAACTAATTGCAGGTTCATGTATATTTATTTAAAAAAAAAGAAAAAAAGAAAAAAACAAAAAACAAAAAAACCCTCAGTGAAATCTATAATCAATGAGGAAATGTATTTCAACAAAGTAAGAACATTTCAGAAGCATTTGCATGTCTAAGTCAGGATCTTTTACTTCTATAGAGTATATTACAGATAGCCACAAGAGAGAAAGTACCTTAGCTTTGTTAACAACAGGTTGTAGAAGCTTGTCTGTAATCTTCTGTATGACACTGATCATAGTAGAGGTACATTCTTGTAATACTGATGCAACATTCTGGTTCATTTCTTGATAATCTTCAAAATTAAAAACATGACACAAAGATATTAAATATTTACATACATTTGTTATAGACAGATGAGAATAAAACCATTTACAGTTTTCTGAATAAAGAGTAAAATGTTTATGTGTAAAGTGAGAAACTTTTGAGAAAAAAAAGCCCCAAAACATATATAATTATCATATATAATAAGTATACATGTATTTGACTATAAACTTTGATAGACAATGTTTCTAACAGGTTTTGATAAAACACCCCCACTGTCAAATCCCTATGAAATATAGACTTAAAACCTTGCTTTAGAGAATACTTCAACCTCAGATAAATATCTTTATGTACCTGCCAATGTTTCATTTGTGTCAGCAAATTGTAGCAGTATAAAAACTTGGATTACAAAACAACCAATATCACATCCTCTTTCTGATGTCTTTAACCCAACACTGGCATGATGTGGTAGCAATCCTGTAAAATATGGTTAAACAATAACTAATACTCATATATGATACATATTTAACACTAAAATCCTAAAATCATAAGGTAATAAAAAATCATTGTACTTGTCATCTTGAAGACTTAAAAAATAAATTATAGTAACAATAACATACAATATTGGTTAAGAAAATGTATAAAACAGACATGACTCCCGGATAAGATATACTATGGGTAGTAAATAGAATTTAAATCTTGAATAAGAAAATGTATGGGTCAGAAAAAACTAGAACTATCACTAAATGTGATTAATACCCCCACAAGTCTGCTTCGGAAATGAGGATGTTACTAGTAACAGAATACCTTGTAAAAGAATTGAAACATAGAGTTATGGTTGTGGGCAATTAAAGATAATTGTGGTTCATGTATGTTGCATTTCCTTTCAATGTGGTTGGCCATTGATGAAGTTTAATTGAATTACACTGTAATAAGTCCAGAAAGACAAAGAAAAAGAACAAAGGGCAATAACTCTATAAATACTGAAGATAGAGTTATAGTTCTTGTGCACTGCACTTCCTCTTATTGTGCTTGACCATTGTATGAAGTTGTTTTGAATTCCAACCAGTACGTTTTAAGTTATGCTCCGGACAAGGAAAAGTATCAAAGGGCAGTAACTCTGTATTTTGTCAAAATGGAGTTATGGCTCTTGTGCACTGCACTTCCTTTGAATGTCCTTGACAACTGTATGAAGTTGTACTGAATTCCAAACAGTAGTTTTCAAGTTATGCTCTGGACAAGGAAAAGTAACAAAGGGCAATAACTCTGTAATTAGTCAAGATGGAGTTATGGTTCTTGTGCACTGCACTTCCCCTTATTGTGCTTGACCATTGTATGAAGTTGTTTTGAATTCCAACCAGTAGTTTTCAAGTCATGCTCTGGACAAGGAAAAGTAACAAAGGGCAGTAACTCTGTAATTAGTCAAGATGGAGTTATGGTTCCTATGCACTGCACTTCCTCTCAATGTGCTTGACCATTGTATGAAGTGATAATGAATTCCAACAATAAGTCTTCAAGTTATGGTCCGGACAAAAGAAAGCAATGGAAAAGTAACAAAGGGCAATAACTCTGTAATTACTTTACATAGAGTTATGGTTCTTATGCACTGCACTTCCTCTCAATGTGCTTGACCATTGTATGTAGTTATATTGAATTCCAACCATTAGTCTTCAAGTTATGCTCCGGACAAAAAAAAAGAAGGCAATTGAAAAGCAACAAAGGGCAATAACTCTGTAATTACTTTAGATAGAGTTATGGTTCTTGTGCACTGCACTTCCCCTTATTGTGTTTGACAATTGTATGAAGTTGTTTTGAATTCCAACCAGTAGTTTTCAAGTAATGCCCCGGACAAGGAAAAGTAACAAAGGGCAATAACTCTGTAATTAGTCAAGATAGAGTTATGGTTCTTGTGCACTGCACTTCCTCTCAATGTGCTTGCCCATTGTATGTAGTTATATTGAATTCCAACCATTAGTCTTCAAGTTATGCTCCGGACAAGGAAAATGCAACGGACAAAAAAAAAACGCAATGGAAAAGCAACAAAGGGCAATAACTCTGTAATTACTTTAGATAGAGTTATGGTTCTTGTGCACTGCACTTCCCCTTATTGTGTTTGACAATTGTATGAAGTTGTTTTGAATTCCAACCAGTAGTTTTCAAGTTATGCCCCGGACAAGGAAAAGTAACAAAGGGCAATAACTCTGTAATTAGTCAAGATAGAGTTATGGTTCTTGTGCACTGCACTTCCTCTCAATGTGCTTGACCATTGTATGTAGTCATATTGAATTCCAACCATTAGTTTTCAAGTTATGCTCCGGACAAGGAAAATGCAACGGACGTCTGGACCGACCGACCGACCGACCGCCCGACCGACCAACCGACCGACCGACCACCGGGTGACTCCTATATACCCCCCCAAACTTCGTTTTTGGGGGTATAAAAAACAAAAAACTTTTTAAGTATTACTTTATAATCATGTTGGATTACCACTCTGTATAACAGTTGCTCCAATGCTACATGAAATGAATATTATATACATGTACAAAGAAAATTTTGAATGTAATGCACCTTCATTGTAACAGAGCAATCAATAGTTAAGTTATTTAAATAACAATAATTTATTATTTAACATGATGTAAAAACATTGCATGAAAGATGTTATAATGTTGATGTTATGCAATTCCTAGCATGTACAGTCTCATTTATTTCATAGTGCAAGCCTCACCTTTATAAGTCGGTAATAATTCACTGTCCACTTTAAGCTTGAATCTACTCCAGTCAACACTAGCCAGTAGAGGGCAGACTACTGTTACATCTAGAGGCAGACAACCAGGACCATAAAATGTTAACTTATAAATGTGTTAAGGAAGATTTTGTTTGTTTGTTTGTTTGATTTACGCCTTTTCCCAACAGTATTTCAGTCATATAGGCGGGTAGTTTCCCAACCATTGTTCCTGGAGAGTTACACCAGTACTAAACTACCTTCCTCCGCGTTAAACTACAAAAGCATCTCCCGGGGATCGAACCCAAACCAGAGAGGTAACTGGATTAGAAGTCATCGACTCTAACCCCTCGACCACGGAGGCGGTGTGTTAAGGAAGATAATTTTTATATACAGCTTATAAAAGCAATAATATAATAAAGGTTTAAGGTTAACTGTTTGTACATTACATTATGATAGTTTGAATATCAGTCAAATTAAACAAATATGTTTAAATTTTACTGAAATTATAAAATCAAATATTTAAACAATTTTACATAAAATACTGTCATCATTTTAACATCTGTATATACTATAACATATTAACCACAGGTGGCAGTATCAGTGTTTGGACACCCCACCCCTATCTGCGATTGGAACCCTACTACAACCCTGAAAAAAAAAATTCAACACTCTAAGGCTTACTTTATGGTACCAAATACAAAACCACCGATGAAATTATATAAAAAAAATTTTTCCACTATCAAAATTATAGTTATAGAAAGGTGAAAAGCCTACTATATGTTCATTTGCCATACAATGTGGAACACGGGAAATCGTCGTTTAGGCGACTGAGGCGCATTCCGGCAGGATTTCGCTGCATCATTCATTAACATTGATAAAAAGAACTAGAATTCCACAGCTTATCTAATTCAAGTCTAACGAATATCACTAGCATTCCGATTTTTTCTGTTTCACGGTATTTTTTGAATTGTCGTAGCCATTTTGCAGTCTGATAACTGGGTTGAAATACGCAATCTGATTGGACGAGCCAAATTTGACGTCCAATCAGATCGCGTATAACACACAGGTATCAGAATCCAAAATGGCAGCGACAAGTCAAAAATTACCGTGAAATAGAAGAATCGATAGAATATTGATATTCGTTAAACTTGAATTAAGTAAGCTGTGGAATTCAAGTTCTTTTTATTGATGTAAATGAATGATGCAGCAAAATGCCTTCGGAATGCGCTTCAGTCGCCGAAACGACGATTTCCCGTGTTCCACATTGTTTGGCAAATGAACATATAGTAGGCTTTTCACCTTTCTATAACTATAATTTTGATAGTGGAAAAAAAAATTTTTTTTTTATAATTTCATTGGTGGTTTTGTATTTGGTACCTTATAGTAAGCCTTAGAGTGTTGAATTATTTTTTTTTCAGGGGTTGTAGTAGGGGTCCAGGGGCAGATAGGGGTGGGATGTCCAAACACTGATACTGCCACCTGTGATATTAACAGTACTAAAAAAACGTATATTAAATCTACTTTCACATATAACAATATTTACTTTGCCACATTTACTATGTTTGTTTGAGTTTATAAATGGCACGGCACATTGGCGTATAACTTGCCAAACTGTGCCAAACACCATAATTATTAACATCTAGAAATTACAAAAAAAGCTTTGATCTTGATACAAAACACAGTGATTGCAATATTTTAAGATGGTCAGATATGGACTCAAACCCATGATATCTAGGTCGAATGGTTACTGGAACTCTATCCCCTTAGAAATATAACTTATGTCAAGGATACAGTACACAAGCTAGATACAGATTGTTCTACAGGTATATATAGAGCTACAGTAGATATATAAACTGATCTGTTCATGTAAACATTCTGAGATGTCAGTACTTGTACATCAGTCCAGACAGGATCTATGGTACATGGTACCACTATGTCATAAACAGCTGTCATATCACTATCCCTGTAATATATATATATGATATAAATATTACTAAATTATGTATGGACAATGAAAACCATATTTTAATGTTATGTTATGAAAAAGTTCCATAAAATTAAACATAACAAGGATATGGTATCGAAGTATGCATGAAAAGACATAATTATACACTAGCAAGATCATTTTCCTGATATACCTCTCATTTTATAACAATGAATTATTCAAATTGAACTGTATGTGAGGAACCTTCATTAAAAAAATACTTTAACAGCAAAAAGCCTGATACAGAAGGACAATAGATTAGAAGTACCACAACTTTTTGTTCTGGTTGGGGTTTAAATCTCATCAACATAGTATAGGTCATATGGCACGTTCCAGCTAAACTGGTGGAAGAAGACCTCAGGTGCCCTTCCGTGGAATATTTCAGGCCTACATGAGCAACTAAGTAGAACCAGCTAGTTGGAAAGCTTCCTCACAAGAAAGAATCCAAAGTCTCTGTCAGAACTCAAACCCAAAGTGGTGAGGGGCTAGTGGTTTGACCTTAACTACTCGGCCATGGATGCCCCCAAATACAAATAAGAAATAAACTTACTGGAGGTAAAATGCAGCATCAGTGACCATAGAGGGTAAACATTGAGACAATTTTCTCCACGACTCTACCCTGAAAATATACATATAACCCTACTTAGTATATGTATGAGCATTACAACATGCACAGACTAACGATTCTTCAAATAAAGTTATTACGTTTTGCACAATATTACAAGCAGGTCTACCCAAAATATTAATAAAGAAAAAATGTTAAAATGGTCTATTTAAGAACTCCATGATCATGAACCAGTGGTAATGAGTCTAAATGTGCACAACAATTGTACTACTAGTATATAATGTGCTACACAAAAAAGATACCTTGTCTTAAAATGAATGAAAGAGTAAAAATGGTATTATGACAAGCCATGGAGTTGTATGGTGTAACAGACCCAAGTTATATAGTTGAAGGCCAGTAACAGGCCAGGGGAAGTTGTACGATTGTTACAGACCAGGGAGTTATATGGTGACAGACAAGAGCATTGTATGGCTGTTGCAGGTTAGGAAGTTGTATGATTGTGATAGACCATAGTAATATGGTTGTGACAGGCATGGGGGTTGTAGGGGTGTGGTAAACAAGGAAGTTACATGGCTGTGACAGGCTATGGAGATGTAGGGCTGTGACAGGCAAGGAAGTTATATGGTTGTCAGCATATTTGTTTGCAAAATTTACAATGTATAGGTTCAAAACAATAATGATTCCTATGTGAGTGTGAAACTTAAGATTGTATAACTTACCTGAAGTCTGTCTGAGACACTGCCTCGCTTATTTTCATTGTGAACCTCAAGTCAGCCTGGGGATGAAATTATGTAGACAAGAACAATGATCATAGAATTAATGAGGGAAAACTGACGGGCAAGTTTCATTTACTTTGTTTAGGTGAAAATGATGAAAAGTGAATCAGTTATCATAGATTAATGTAATTAATAAACATATTAGACAGTTTTCATTAATTAAAGTACTGATCAATCCAGTTAAGTTTCATTGAAAATGAATTACTTGTGTAAGAGGAGTAGTCTGGACAAACTTTAAAAATAAAAATCATTACTACTGTATGAAGTGACACAAAAATGAAAGATGTGACATGGCCTTGAGGTTAGGATTCCCGCTTGTCAGTTTTTAATTCTGTTAATCTTCCTAGTTATGTCACAACCATGATTTCTCTAATAGAAATAATATGAGCGGCGCCATGACAAAACCAACATAATGGGTTTGCAAACAGCATGGATCCAGACCAGCCTGCGCATCCGCTCAGTCTGATCAGGATCCATGCTGTTCGCTATCAGTTTCTCTATTTGTTATAGGGTTTGTAAGCGAACAGCATGGATCCTGATCAGACTGTGCAGATGCGCAGGCTGGTCTTGATCCATGCTGGTCGAAAACCCATTATGTTGGTTTTGTCATGGCGCGGCTCAAATTTATTAAATTGTTTAGTTCCAGGAAGCAAGACAACAGCGGTACAAGCTCCAAGTTATGTTTACAATCAAATAATACAATAAAAATGGTTTTAACTAAAATATAACAAACTTTAGGTCTGAAGACACGTATCTGAGACATGTAACTATGTATACATGTACATTCCCTCATCATGTGTAACATACTGTCATGTATCTATAATATAAGTCAGACAACTAATAGTCAGATATACAGCTTTTTAAACCAAGGGAGGTAATAAATTGGATTGCAACTGTTGCAAACTATTTAGATTACTCCCCTTGTTTCATTCATTATTACCGGTATATTGAATTGTTCACTGTTCAATTTGATACATGTATTTCTTTTTCTTCTTTAAAATTCTATCATTGTATTTTTTAAATTTTAAGGACCTTTTTTTAATTTAAATTAATTGTTGATTTGATAAAAAACAACTTTTCAATTAATGGAAAGGATAAAAAAAGATTAACAATTTACCCTTAAGTAAAGTATAGACTCTTCAATCTTTTTGGATCTTTGGACTTCATTTAGTACATTTAACCTTTCACCTACAAGAATTAGATTCTGTTGAAGTGAACTTTGATCTTCATCTTCAAGGTGACATGGGTTCTGGATACACAGATGGCTTTCATTTTCCAGTGACTGCATATACCCAAGTATAGAATGTAAGGCTGGGTTTTTGTTGTAACCTGTTTTTGAAAAACATCTTAACATTTTTTACCTTCCATTTAGCAATAACAAGAGCAGAAAATGTTCACTTTGTATACTTGGTAAACTTATCTTATAACTATGTAATGTGTATATACAAAGTTGCAGGTCTTATTCAGATGTCAGTATTATACTAATTGCACCGTACTAATAAAGGCATGTTCAATTAAAGATTAAGAATAATACAAGATTATAATATATAATTTATGGCATATAAAACCTCAAAAAGCATTTTAAAAAATACAAAAAAGTAATACACAAAATAAATATGTTCCCCCATCAATGAATTGACAACTAAATAGAATGAGTTACTTTATACATTGGGGCTATATCCTGGTGTATATACATACATGTGAACTCTCCCACTTTTAGCGGGAGACTCCCACTTTCTGCAGCCATATTTTCAAAGATCTTTCTTAAAATAAGAGGTATTTTTACAAATTAATTTAAAGAAATCTCCCTATTTTTGATCTCAGAACTTCCTTCTTTGTTTATTGCAATTTCTAAAATCTCCCTCTTTTTGAAGACAAATCTCCCACTTCACCATCAAAAAAAATTCACATGTATGTATATATAGTAGGCTCATTCTGTATTTTTAGCATATTACTGTATGAAATATAGACAGTGATAAACATAAGGGAGATTGCCACATTTGTACCTTCTAAATGATGTCGGTCTATTGGGCACTTGCTAGTTACTGAAATATAAAACAAACAGTGGAAATTATCAAAGTCGCATATCTTTCATTCTATTATGCAAATTCCTTTATTGAAGAACATGTAAATCATTATTTTAATAAGAATAATTAAGACTAACTTTGGCTTTTCTTTGTATAGGAGATTATCAAAATCAAGTAATTCTTAATATTTCACATTCAAAAATATTTTTTGAAATATAACCTTGACAAATATTAATACAAACATCTATTAAAAAGATTTATTTCCTATAATTACCTAAGAAAGATACCTTTGATATAGAACCATGATTCACTTGTAGAGTTTTGATATGTTTTTGTTGATTTGATGCTGACTTGAATATCTGCTCTTCTAGACTTACTTAATACACTTTGTAATATCTAAAAATATCAAAAAAATTAAAAATATTAAACATTATTTTAGTACTGTAGACCTTTACAATTTAAGTATTATGGTGTACATAATAAATATCTTATTTTCTTTGATGTATATTTTGCTCTTGCAGTAAAGTAAGTGTCCATGAGGCTTAACGTTTGAAGCTGGTCATAGATCAAATTTAATTCAGGCATTTAATGTGAATTTGCTGTTAGGTGTTAAGTTACATTCAGATTTAGCTACAGCTACATGGATGATAAGATCCATTACAGACAATTTTAGATGCTTTTTAACTTAGTTGGTGGCAGTCCAGAAACAAAATAATATGGTCCACTAGAGGGCCCCAGACATTGGCAGTCAAAGAAATGAAGTTGGCTTAAGCTTTTTGTCTTATGTATTATTTTATAGAAGAAACATATTTTACTAAGTACTTACATGCCTTTTTGATAGAAACAATACAAATCTAAAAGAATACAGAAATTAAAGAATGCACACATCTTTGCCAATAAGAATATTACAAGAATCATCCATGAAGACAAAAATGTGTTAGGGCCCTCATAATCTAGACAATGACAAAATTTTTATTCACTTTAAGGCTGAGACTGGGGCCAGGGCACCCAGGTAGGAGAAGTTGCATCATTCTGAACAAAACAGTCTACAACAATACTCATAATGTTAAGTATTACATATTCAATGCTGCAAGATGATATGTTTAAGGGTTACATACTTCCTTTACAGCAGCAACCACCTCCACAGATTCTTCATGTTTATATGTTCCATCATTACCATCATCAAGTATGATTACTGTTTCTGCCATGATGTTGTTAACTCTAAAACTCTACTGTTCCCTTTCTGCTATCAGTAACTTGATATTTCACCTGACAGTTCATTTTGTAAAGTGTTATTGATGCACTTATATAATGATTCTTTTCTCAAAGATTAAGCCAGAAAAATAATACAGTAAACTAATTATTATAGTCAAAATAAAAATAAAAACTCTTAGAGTCTTAATGTTACAGCTTATTGTTGCTCTTTGTTCCATCTGTCCTTTTAATTATACAGAAATGTATTAAATAGTAACCTAATACATAGTATTAAATTAAAGACAAACATTTTAGTTTCGCATGTAAATTTAATCTGATATCAAGGAACTTCTATGAGAGGCACATATTAAGCTGTCATTAGTACTGGAGTAAACTGAAAACCTCTAACAAGTCTCACAGAACTGAACATAACAGCTATAGCTCCTTATATAATTTATGGCTATTGTTAGAACCTTATGCTCGTTCTCACATTCAAAGCATTACACATCTGAAAATGGCAAGTGCAAGAGCCACATTTGAGTTGTCAAAAAAACTTTGCTTATTGCAAATGTTTTGTTGTTTTTTCCCACATATTATTTAGATTATAGCGAGCTTGAAGGGCCTGCTAGCAAAGCAAGCTTTATGGTAATGCCAGTACCTGTTAGGTAGTGATGGTTTTAAAAACTTTCGCCAGAAGTACTAGAAAATTATGGGTAAAGCAACTTTTCGAATAACAAGATGTCAATAAAAGCTGAAAACAGATGCTTAGACTAGTCTTCTGCGCACTCCTACGGGAACCATAGTAGGACAGGGAACCAGAATTAAATTATAATGTACTATAATTTCTGTCAAGGAGCTCACTTTGAGGCTTTGCTCATATTATTGGAGAAAAAGCTGAAAATGGACCATGATTCTGGAGAATAATATATACTGTGTTGATGGATGAAAGAGTTATGTGAAAAAGTTTTAAATGAGATAATCAGGGTAAGTGTGCGGATTTTTTCCAGCAAACATTTGTATTTTGTTGATGTAACATTGTTTTCATTACTGCTAAAGTAAGGTTCTATTAACATATATGATAAGTATGTGTGCTGGGATTGACAAATATACAATTCATTTGGATTTTAAGATGTTTCCAGCTCCACTGTGTGTTTCAAAATTTAGCACTCACATCAAAAATTTCTGGATCCTGCCTTAAGCAGGTGACAAATGTTTTTAATTTAGTAAAAAGTGAAATAATAAGTGATATTAAACGAACATTACGTTAAAAAATCGTTCGTAACATTCGGGTTGATTTGACAGCTACTGATCATTGCTGATTTAGTGTTAAGAGATTCTTGTCCAGAATTTCATGAAGTGCCTGTGAGATTATTCCATACTGTGCTCTTTTCTTCCTTTCATATTAGAAAATTAAAAATATTATCAGGTCAGTTAATCTTTAACTCCGCGAAAATGACTATTAAATGCACCATAAAGCGACAAATATATATTTTTAAAAATTACCCCCACAAAACTTCAACCGGAAACGGATGTGACAAATCTACGGAGTGGCACATCTTTAAGACGAAAAGAACTCATAAATTTTTGTATGCGAAAAGAACTTCTTATATTAATTTACGCTTGCACATATTTATAGCCAACAGTCCTGTAACAGTACAATATATTGTTAACTTGCTGAAAATCTATACAATTACTTGTTAGTTTTAATTTCTAACACTGAAAAATCCTGCTTTGATAATATATTTAGTAATAACATTTAGCGGGTGTTGCTCCAGCTTATAAATGCATCCCCTAAAAGTCAAATCCCTTGAAGATTTTTTTCTTCAGATGTAGTTTGCATTTTTGGGGAAGTGTGGGGTGTGCTCTTAAGATGAAACAAAATAATTTTCGCTATATAGATGTAATAGCATGGTGTTATATTCTCTACAAATAGAGTGTAAAGACAGACTTTTTTCGTAAAATTAATATGAAATTATGAGAAGAAACGATATGGTTAACTAGTATGAAATTAAAAAAAAAATAAAATAAAATAATGCAGACTTTTTAATATAATAGCAATGTTTAAATATCCATTTACTGTTTCACATTCATTATTAAGTTGGGTACGTGTGAACGTGAGCACAGCTTGGCTACCGTCATAATGTATGGAGTACTGAATTACCAATATACGTGAATACCTCTGATAAGCTAACCTTGAACTATATATCATTAATATAACGTGTGTACTCCTTTGACTAATCAGTCATATACTATACCGCAGTGTTTAAAACTCGTCTGTAAATAATATTCAGTATCGTTTATAGACATTTGTTCTGGAAACTAATAAATATAAAATTTAAGATGTCATCTCGCGCAGGACGTTCTTTATTTGTACAACTTGTGCGTAAATATAGTAACACCGCGGGCTCGGATGTTAAACACTATAAGGTTGTGGTAGCGGGAGGAGGGACAGGGGGTTGCTCCGTGGCTGCACGTGCATGTCGTGCACTTGGAGCTGGTAATGTTGCTGTCATTGAACCAGCTGAGGTGAGTCATCTGTCACGTTTAACATTTACAATTGCAAATTAACTATAATTAAGTTAACTATAATTAAGTTAAATTATTGAAAACATAATGTCAACATTTATGATGAATTAAATGATGCTTTTAATGATACGTATATTCATTGATTTAATAAAGTTCTTTTTATGTTGATAAACCGGTTGCTTTTCATTTTGATACTTGTATTCTCATTTTTCTTTTTACGCAAAACAGTTTATTGACCTCATTATAACTATATGTATGTCCATTTGTTATCATTGGTATGAACTTTTAAAATGTTTAGTTCAAAAACTGGTAGTACTACTCTTGAAATGTCGCTGATAGCGACTATTTTTTCGTTGAACAATATTTAATCGTGTAGTTGATGCTAATTTTTCAACTCTACAATCGGTTTTAAGTTTAACCCGTTGTAAACATTCATGTCCTTAAACAAGTAAACAGTTCAACATGTATAATATTGTATTCAGGTTTATTACAAACGCTGTTGAATATATATTCATGAATACATGTAAAAAGTAATAATCAAACAATTTTTACAGACCCGTTTTGTTTGTAAGTTATTTATACCATTATATATGCTAGCGAATAGCTTACGTATATTTTCATATATATATAATGTTATAGGATATATCTAAACTTAAATACAATAAAAATTTGTGTTCCTGTGCTGGAACTGACTGTAAATGATAACCTGGTCTAGCACATACGTGACCCCTGTTAATTATTTAAGATTGATAACTAAGTTTATATGGTTTATTCATTCAAACAGTTAAGGGATAACTGACCATTAGTGTCATGTCTGCTTCCAGTATCACTACTACCAACCAATGTGGACGCTGGTGGGAGCCGGGATCAAGAGAGTGGACCAGTCAGCTATGCCGATGAGTGAAGTACTCCCGAAGAAATGTGATCATCATAAACAACGTGTTTCCGAATTTGATCCTGATAAAAATACCGTTACTCTTAACAACGGTCAGAAGGTATCAAATGTTTGTAAAATACTAAAACTATATATTATGCATAAATGCTTACAATAAGAGAGGGCAGCATGGCAGCTGGGGCGTCCGTGGCCAGGTTAGGTTCGTTGATTTCAAACCACTTGCCCCCTCACCGCTGTGGGTTCGAATCCCGACAAGGGCTTCTTTCACGTTACACGATTTCTAAATACATGAAGGACAAAGCATACTCTAGTAGTGTGACATTGTTATTATTGTTAAAACCCGGTCTTGTCCCAGGAGAATAAGTCAAGCATGTTATTATAATGTGAACGACTGTTAGACTAATCTTGAAACGTGACTTCATTATTACAGTACACATGACCTAAACTATAACAAGGATCTACCATTAAACATAAATTAGAAGGAGATTAATCAATGACTTAACCCGTTTTTTAGCTCTATATACTACCAATTAGTCACATGCATTTTTACATGTCGATTGCGGCGGGAAAATCTCCATCTCTCTCTAAAGATCTGTTGAATATCATTTTATGAAAGAAGAGGCATGTAAAATAGATTAAATGTAAAGTAATTTGTGCAGTTTTGACATTGCACAGGGTGTATAACTTCAAGTTTATACTATTTTTAGAATTGTTTTGTTATGCAAGTTACTTGACTTGGCTGTTTTCCATTGAAGGAACATACAAAATCATTATCGATACATATATGTTGGTACCATGTTTCGTCTTGACTGTAACTTGCAAAGATTATTATTATAATAATATAAATTTGTTATTTACGATATTGATGTTCACTCAAAAATACTATTTAATAAAACAATATATTGACTTTCATTTTATCACTGTTATTCATAGCACGTTCATTAATCCTAATAGTTTTTTTTTCATCTTCGGTCCGTATCATTTCAAGACAATGAATGATTTTGTAAGATATTAATCATGCACTTAGTGATAGTGAAATGTTTGTTTTTCAGTTAAGTTATGACTATCTAGTGATAGCACTGGGAATACAGATAAACTTAGATAAAGTAAGTGATGTTTTATACATTAAGTGATATTTTTTATCTTGTCTAATCACTCGAATGTAACAGGCGTTTTAGGTTTTATGCCACTAATAATGTTGCAGTACATGTATCTTTTTAATTGAATATCTAGATTTAGTCGCTACATTACTTAAGCAGGGCAATTCAGGTGAATTCAGACCATTTTCACAGTTGCAGGCTTTTACAATTCAATGTGTACCCTGTCTTGCGAGAACAACAACTTGTTTCTTCTGACCACTGTACCTTGCTTTGGAGCCTTGAACCCTTTTTTTTCGGGCGCCCAGTTAAGGGGTAACCCCATTTATGCCTATGCTTATAGTAAGCGCCATGATTGTTTACACAATGGTTAACAGCAGTTAGCGTCGTTACAAACCCTAAATAGAATAATATGGTTTTCTTCAGGTCGTTCACATATAAATTCACCGTGGCCGCGGCGCTTTCGCGCTCGCTGAGGAAGCGAGAGGTCTGGAGTTCAAACCCCAATTACGGCAACACATTTTTTTTTCACATTGTTTAAGTCAAATAAACATTGGATCGAATATCAGTGTTGCAATACATCTTATAGCCAATCTACTACAATTAAAACGCTGGAAAGCATTGGTGGCACTATACAAAAACAAATTGTTTATAATCTCACAACCTTCACCTTTCTGACATTCTGAGACCCAAACAAATTCAGCGCCTTCTGTGCTTTGATTCTACTTGTTATAGAGTATGTAAGCGAACAGCATGGATCCTGATCAGACTGCGCGGATGCGCAGGCTGGTCTGGATCCATGCTGGTCGCAAACCAATCAAGTTGGTTTTGTCATGGCGCGGCTCAAATAATGATGCATCAAATATATATTACTGTTAAACGTAAGTGTATATTGCGACTTAATTTTGAATTACATGTATAATATAATATATGTACAACAATGTATTATATTTACATAGATCACCAACACTGCATTTGAGCTGTTAATTAATATAATTAAATTTAAATTGATAAGGGGAATTCACAAATAAGAAAAAAGAGAAGAAAATACACAAATATGAAATGTTTATTTCGTGTCAGAGTATCATTAATGAATTAGTCAATGTCGTGTTTGAAAAACTCTTGATCGTATTGGTTTTCATGCATGGCATGGTTATCAGTGCATCAAATTCATCAAGCGGACGAGAGATTGAGTCAATACATATTTTGATACGTTTTCGAAGATATTTTGATATGAGAGTACTAACATGCTTTGTCAAGTATACATGTATATTTTAAGTGTGTAACTGTCTATAGGGTTTTGTGATACATTGCACTCTAGTAATGATTTTTGAAGGGACAATATTTACATTTTGTATATAGGTTGATGGTCTTATAGAAGCATTGAAGGTTGACCCTACAGTCTGCTGTAACTATGTACGAGACACAGTGGTAAAGACTTACCCTGCTATACAGAATTTTAAAGGAGGACAAGCTATATTTACATTCCCAAATACACCCATCAAATGTGCCGGTGCACCACAGAAAATCATGTACCTGGCAGACGATTACTGGAGAAAGGTAAACTATAACATCACATTAAACATGCAGAAACTTCCGACCATTTTTAGATATCATTTTACGAAAAATAAAACAACTTTATATTACAAATCAAGGAAATTATAAATAATATTACACATTTATATAAGACAAAAGTGGTGGAACATGCGCGGCACACGCGCGAAAACAGCTAAATTAACTAAACGTAGCTGCTGAATAGTTTTCAAATATAATCCATGTGAGTTAAATAATTTGAAATATAACCCCTTTGTGTTAATTGTACAAAACGTACTAAGATGTAAAGAAAAGTAGAACGTTTCAGGATTCAAGTAATATTTTACATATTATATGCGATTAATTACTGATTTTTCAGTATTTACAACTATATTTCTACTGCTTTATTAAGGCAGTAAAGACTATTTATGCATATTTTGACCACCTTTTGGTAATTTACGTGGTTTGTAAGTGTCATTGATAACGTGTAGATTGCTTCCTTTGGTTACTAAATACTTTACAATATTACACATCCATTTTTATCAATTTAGCCTCGTTCTATTTTCCCAAGACCAAGAAATCGATATCAGTTCCATATTGTACTTCTTTCAAACCTCATTTTTTCCGAGTCAAACATATCCATATCAAATTCATATTGCCCTCCGTCTAGCCTCGTTTTCTTTTTTTTTCTAGTCTAAAAATCCATATCAAATCTATAAAAAAAACAGTAAAGTAACCAAAATATTTCTCCTGCTTTATTGTAAGTTTGTCACAAATACGCAAAACATACTGGTTGATTATTCTGATGAATGATAGAATATATTTCTAAATATCAGAAGAACTGTCTAATCCGAGGTTAACGTGTATGGAAATACTTCTGAATATAATGTTTAAGATGTATTCCAAACCCAGATTTTATATTAAAATTCACAAATTTTGCAACATTCTTTAAGTAGAGTATTTTATGAATTTCAATGTTCTTTTTATTACAGCATGGAGTACGAGATAAAACAGAAATCCTGTATAACACATCTTTAGGAGTGATATTTGGAGTGAAGAAATATGCTGAGAGTCTACTGAAAGTTGTTGAGAAAAAGTGAGCATATTTCAAAAACATTGCTAACATTAATAATATTTAATGTTATTCATTCAATTGTTTGAAACTATTTTTGATATGAGAATGGTTTCGTTGGAGATAGACATTAACAGGGCTTTCTTTGTTTGTGCTTTCCATAAGAAAGGCAATGTACACCACTACACATCAACACCACTTTACTTCTATACCACTCTACCGATACACCTCTCTACTCCTACACCACTTAACCACTACACCACTTTATCCATACACCACTTTACTCCTACACCAATTAATTTACCACTACAACAGTCTACCACTACACCACTTTACTTCTATACCACTCTACCGATACACCTCTCTACTCCTACACCACTTAACCACTACACCACTTTATCCATACACCACTTTACTCCTACACCACTTTACCCCTACACCTCTTTATCCCTACACCTCTCTTCTTCTACACCACTCTACTTCTACACCACTACTGTACACATCTCTACCTCCAATTGACCCAAGTTAATATTGTCTAACCAGCGAAATACCATGTCCATCGAGATAAGTAACCTTGACTGACAATCTTTGTTTCACTTAGAAATTATTCTCATGTAACCTGTTTACTGTAACTATCATTTATTTATAACACGAATTGCTGATGTTACTTAGTGTTCTTTAGTCTGTCAATTGACTCTAAATTACTTAAATGCGTCAATAAAATGACAGTTTCGTCTTACACATTTATATCTTATTTTAAGGAATATTAAAGTGAATTTCAAGAGGAACTTGGTAGCAGTTGATCATAGTAAGAAAATGGCAACTTTTAAATTACTGGACAGTGAATCTGGTGAGGAAGAGACGTACAAAGTAAATATCTTTTATTATTGTAACTATTGTAGATGTGTAACTTGCTGGACCAGTCTGGTATTGTAGAATGTCCTTTTTTAGTTTTAATGGATTACCCTTTCAAGTTGACTAGACATCATTTAGTGCATGTAAAGGTTAGGCTACAATACTGTACATGACGACGTGCTTCTATTTTCTAGGCATAGACCTGTCGTTACTTAAGTTATACTTTAAATAATATATATCAGTTGTGATGTAAAACTTTTATACTGTCAAACTGCAGATATTTGATCATCATTGTAAGAGGTTCTTAGAAAAATTTGTACACATACATGCACAATAATATCATTTTAACTATGAGTTATAAAATAGTTATCCTACTAACAACCTTATTCTATTAAATCTAATCGTTTAGTTACGAAAGACACAAGTGATAAAGAATACTATTTCGTTTTAGTATGACTTCTTGCATGTAGCGCCACCAATGTCCGCCCCTGACACATTGAAGAATTCTACTTCACCGATCACAGACGCTGCTGGCTTCCTTGACGTTAAGAAAGAGACGCTACAACATAACAAGTACCCAAACATTTTCGGTCTCGGGGATTGCACCAACGTCCCTACCGCCAAAACTGCAGCAGCCGTTGGTGAGCAATTGCTTTTGTTTTCCTCATCATGTATAATATACAATTCTTTAAAGATACTACCATACACGACCAATGTATCAACCTTTTCATTGTTATATTACGTTCAGTATATCTATAGTGTGAATGTTCCACCTAAAATATTTATTCTTTCATGTACTCAGTCTATATTTCCTATATTCCAGCTGGCCAGAATAAAATCTTATATAGAAGCTTGACACAAGTAATGGCGGGACAAAGTCCTGATGGACAGGTACGTTAAAATACAATTGTATGGTTTCATATATCATTTGGCAACCTGTAAATGGTCATGTATTGTTTAAGCATGGAATGTAATGGACGTAAATTATGCTACAGAAAGTATCTGAATGCAATATGTACATGTGTTTGTTATATTTCAGTACGATGGTTACACATCTTGTCCGCTAATTACCGGGTACCATTCCTGTATCCTTGCTGAATTTGATTTTAATGGCCAACCACTAGAGACGTTTCCAATTGATCAGGGCAAGGAAAGAAGAACAATGTTTCACTTAAAGAAAGATATCATGCCGGAAATGTACTGGAGAATGCTGCTGTCGTAAGTTATATGTCTTCATGATCTTAAAGGAACTCTGAGGCCCAAAAGCCTACAAACATAAACATTTGAATTTCTTTCATAGATCAGCTAGGACACTTTTTAAAACAGAAAGATATGCAAAAGATAATTAAGACATACACACAGAAATAAATTGAAAATCGTATTTTATGCTATTCGCAGCATAATTTTAATGAAGTCTTGCAACGTTTTTCAATTTCTGGTCATTTTTCACAATTATAATAATTATTCTGGAAAAGCGGAATGTTAAAAAACCTTGTTGGAGTACTTTTAAAAGGACCAGAGTGTTTGTTTGTTTTTGATAAATTGTTTTTTATGTTAAAATCAATTTTATATAACTAAAATGCATATTCTTATTTGATCTTTGATAGTAAATGTAATAAACCTAGAAATATATTTTAGAATTACACAATTCCTTCCACGGCAAAAAGTATATACCTTTCCTATTAAAATTTTTGTTACAATACATACAATATTAAAAAAATGATAAAGTTATAGGTAACAATATTCATATGTACTAAATGTGTTTTTTTAATTTCCTATATTACACTTTCTGACATTTTTTACTGGTTCTTCCTGGGCAATGATGATGTTTATTACAATTGTTGTGATATATCATATTTCAGGGGACGCTGGGGAGGACCAAAACCTTACCGGAAGATGATGCATCTTGGGATGTCAAGATAAATTCATACAGTGAAAAATAAAACTTTGATTAGGGTGAAATTGCATTGACAGTGCTAGTTTGATATATTGGTTCGGACTGTACAATAACTTTATGTGACTAAATATGTCAAGATAGAAATGTTCATCCAGTTTACTTGTCTGGGAATGCCATTATGTTAGCATGACAAAATAGATTTATGATATCAAAGTATATTTGCTATTAGTATTACCCATGCCTTAAAGGGCACATAGCTAAAATTATTAGCCATAAAATGGCAGTACTATTTTCAAATGAATAAAAATGGCATTGCCTATTTTTGGTAATTCGATAGCAAACAAGAGCAATAACTGACCAATATTTTAGCATGCGGTGTATCATACAATAACATAAGTATACAATACCACACAATTTGTTTATGTATGTCAAGATTTATATACACATATTGCAGGTGATATGTCAAGGTTATATTTGCATATATTATGTATCTGTTGTATTTCTGGGCGGATATTATTGGCAAGTTCCTATTTTATTGCCTAAAGAGACTAATAATATGACCTTTTTAAAACGAGATTTGTCGAAACATTTGACAGTTATTCTTTTATGTATTGTCCAAGATCAGGGTTACAATCACAGGATAGGTCGAACTCGTTAGGGAACAAAGGGAAAACAACACATGATTTGAATGAAAATCGGGCATTTATTTAAAATGCCATAAATCAGCATTATTTATACTAAATACACAAATAGATTTCATAACATAGTTTAATAAAAGATTCCCGAAAGGAACTAACTGGGAGGCAAAAACCGCCCTTACAAAGAATCAAGATGTAATAACATAAGACCTGATGTATTAACAAGAAAACAAAAGAGACTAGATCAATTTTAGAGCAAGAATAAGTAAAAAAGCATGTATCATATTTTCATGGACCCTGATCTTGGCAACATTTGAAAGAGGTGGTGGAGTTGGAGGAGGTGGTTTTATTTTTTCTTTAAAAAATTGGTAACAAACCAATGTACGCCAAAATGAACAAAGATATGGCTTATCTGTATATCCATTGGCTTAGAAAGATCACGTGTTTAAATGTAAACATCTGATTGGGTAATAGCATAATTTATGCGTCTAGCTAAATTCTGATTAACATCGTTAAGTTCCGGACGTCACAAATAGGGTCCAATGACATAAAATCTTTTATGTGGGCATAAAATATTATTTATGTATTGTCCAAGATCAGGGTTACAATCACAGGATAGGTCGAACTCGTTAGGGAACAAAGGGAAAACAACACATGATTTGAATGAAAATCGGGCATTTATTTAAAATGCCATAAATCAGCATTATTTATACTAAATACACAAATAGATTTCATAACATAGTTTAATAAAAGATTCCCGAAAGGAACTAACTGGGAGGCAAAAACCGCCAAAAGGGATAACCCGCCGCCCTTATTTATTTATATGTCAAGTACATTGTAAGTAAAGACATAGCAATAATTTTATACTTTATTTGTTTAAATTGAAGTCATATATTTTTCTTTCTCGTAATTATACTGCTTGAAAGCGACCATGATGTGTACCATTACATAGTTAAGTTTGATAACATTGTTCATGCATTGATAGCTTGACACCGGCAAGATATTGTAGTATGTTTTTATTTACCTATGTATTAAGATTTATTTCATATCATGACGTTCAACCAGAAATAAACATACTTTTGTTATGTAAATTTAATGGTAAGTATTTTTAAGTATTGGTAACGGTACGTGAAAATGTAACTCATTTGATTGGCAAGTTAACAATAATCATTGTACCTTTTTTGTTATCAAAGTAAAATTGTGTCTATCAACACATAAAGCGATTGCTTTAGCATAGCTGAGGGTACATTTTGTATTGTTTGTACTTTTATTGTGTTTTATTGTTAAACCAAAAACATGTGCAGTATTCAGATTGCATTATTTTTGTTTTTCGATGTGTTTTAAACAATAAATACAATGTGGCTTTGTAAACCATTGATTTTTGTCCCATCATTTATATTCATGACTCCAAATTTCATATCAAATTGTATTTCTTCTTAAAAAAATAAAATTGAGTATTATTTTTGGTTGCCTTATGTATCGAACATTCCAAGTCACAAAAAACTTAAATAAAGACAGGTTAATTTTTGTTGTGTCAAATTGACAATTAGCTAGTAAATACAAGTTTTGCGCATGCGCTCTGACATTCGCAACACCTCGTCGATTTTTCATAATTGTCCTTTTCCGAATATTAGATTATACAAATTTATTTTAGTTCAAATGTGTTAGAAGCTATAAGCTTATTGAAACACTCTCGAATCCGTTCCTGGAACCAACAAGTACTGAGCAATGAATGTAATGTTTCTTACTCAAGGAAACAACGACTTGCCCTTGACGGGGTTTGAACCCACGCTGTCAGGAAACCTTAAATTACTAGTCCGACGCGTTTACCACTCGGTCTAGACCCCATTCTAATATCCGAATATTGACAGTTAATCAACTTCAAGATGAAAATCAGTATTTGGATTAACTGTTTAATGCCCATATTTTGTAAAATTATGATTTTAATTTATTCTTAAATTTCATAAACATGCTATTTCCAGTTGACACAAACTAGTTCAAAACTTTTGTTACATGGGCAATTTTTCTAGTCAGTGTCGTTTTCATGTGTTACCCTTCACCAACGCTCATCAGTTTCAATTAAACTTACCATTGCTGCTTCCAATAGCGACCTCGTCTGTAGAGAAATGAAGCAGCACGGGTACTAATCTACGTTATTTCTGTTTCTTACAACATCATATTCTGGTTCTACAGTTGGGAAAGACCACCTGACAATTGAAAATAGTTCAGTGACAACCTAGGGAGACAAGTGATCGCCAGGAGAGGCTAGCATCAGGGAATCAAATTGGAGAGGTCATCAGCTTCATGCACTGTTTATTCCAATCAAATGATATTATACATTTTTATGTAAATCTGGGGCTACACTGAGGTCTGACAGGTAATTTGGTGTCAAAACAAAAATGTATACAAATTTCCCCACAAATCACAATATTATGACTAAAATAACAATAACTTACACTTTGACCAACCCTCTAACAACAATTATGCTAGAAAATGCATTTTCACATTAGCTTTTGATGCAAAAATGAAAGTTGGTTTTCCCAGACATGTACTGTACAGTAGTTACCCACAATTCATCGGGTATAACTAAAATACGCAACGGACATTTTTGGAACAACAGAGTAAACGGGGGTAAAAAAGTCTATTGATTTTTTCTCAACTCTCTAACCTATCATGTTTATATAACTTGAGTATAACGAAGAAAAACTGTATAAAAGATAATCAAGGTAGCAATTTCGTTGTCTTGAAAAATCAAACGCCAGCGAAGCGGACATTTTCTAGACAAAACGGAAAGATATTATATACATGTACAATTATTTTCATTGACATTTCAGTTTCCATTTCAATATTCTAAGGCAAACATAATGCATCGGTGATATTTATACTAAAACGAGCACAGTGTAATCACACTAATAAAAGTATTTAACGCTATCTATAACGTATTTAAATCAAATACAGTTAATGACCTGTCTCATTTGATTTGATTGTTTGTTTTTGGGATGGAGTGGGGGTTACGTCACACAAAACTGTGTAAGTCATTTTGGCGAATCTTCAGTTTTACTGGTGGAGAAAGAACTCAGGTGCCCCCTTTGCAAAATTGTTTCTGGCACAAACGGGCATCTGTGTATGTAATGAGTGACGTTTCGTAGGCTATCTTGATAGGATCGTACATACACGTTCCATACACAATTACATCATATTCATACCATAGGCAAAATTAAATGCACGTTTCCTGTTGTAACAATATGAAACCCGAGAAAAAAGCCTATGAACCAGCTTTTGAATGTGGCATTACTATAGTTATTCCATAAAAGCACCCCCCCCCCCCCAAAAAAAAAAAGAGTGAGTACATCAATGGGCATGCTCTGGAGTGTTGGTATTTATTACATGCACTCCAGTTACGCACTGTGCATGTATATGAATTCGATTTAACTCTGACACGTTTTCAACAAAAAGTCTTCAAACTATGATACAATAAATGTTTATGATTCTATTAGAAGCTTGTTTAGAATTTAATGATTTTTTGGTGAAAACGATATAGTCTACTTGTACTTCAGATAAGATCAAAGTGCTGAAGGCACTGAAGAAAAAACCGGATAAACTTTCACATTTTCACTCCAGTTTTACAGGTAAATTAATTTTATATGTCGCGGTTTACATCTTAATATCAGCTAACCTTTGCTTTTTGAGACTTTTGTTTTTGAAAATAATCTAAACGAGTAAAATAAATCCTCTTTTATGGGCAAATAATTTAATAAGTAGCATCCCCGATTTCTCTTTCATAAATTGGCTTTAGCAAATTCTGTTCTATTCAAATATTAAGAACATTCTGTAAGTGACGTGTCTTCTACTTGAAATCTTCCTGGTGTGTATTTTTCGGTAACAGGAAGAAAATGACAGTCTGTTCGTATCTTTCGGTAACAGGAAGAAAATGACAGTCTGTTCATTTGATCTTGACTGTGAAAAATCATGTTTTGTGAACCAATTTATCCTGCCGATAAAGATTTTGCAAACAATCTGGTGGTTAATGTTCTAGTGCTTACTCTTAGTTTTTAATTCCAAAGAACATTTCTTAGGAGACCTTTAGCGTTTGATTACGGTATAATCACTATAACCGAAATACTTAGGAATTAATTTTAATTCCTGTTACTGTGAAATTTTCCGTTCACGTGTTTAAAATACTTAAGTAGCTCTAAAAAAATTCAAAACGATATCCAGTATTTCCGAAACAATTTTACAAAGGCTTTTAATACACAATCTTATAAATCTTAAAGTATTACGAGAACCACCCACCTAATCTCCAGAAATTCATACGAAAAACAAGATAAATCAAAAGGCTGCAAGCTCTGTGGTATTTTCTGATCTTTGCAATATAAATCGCACTGTATAACTGTATTATTTTCCTGTATAAGTTTATTTTTATGTACTATAATTCTTCTTGCTTGGTACCAGAGTTTGATACATATGGAATTTTGCATGACTAGAGTTGCATCAAATAATCAGTTATGTTCATTTTTATGACAGCCACACTTTATCCTTGCATTATCGTGGTTATTTCCTTAACAAGAAACTTTATAAAAAATAATTGCCTTGAATTGGATTTGAACCCCAGACACACTAAACGAGCGCGTTACCCTTGCACCACGGAGAAGATATACGAACAATGCCTGAATAAAAATCAAGTTATACTAAATTTAGATTTTTCACTGCATTTCGGGTTAATTTCGAGGTGTATTTTGTTCAAAGATAAAATATGATAAACAAGATCGACAAGGAAAGGCGGCATTCAATGAACGCAGCCCCCACCCGACCCAGCAACAAGCGCCAGTGGCAAGGAGCCCAGGAGGACCCCAAAGAAAAACAGGACAGGGCACAAGGCAGAGTACGGGCAGGCAAACCACTACATCAGAATACATAATTAGTAACTTATAAGGAAATAAAACAAAACAAATAAATGATTTAATATAAGGCCCATAAAAC